TATTAATTTTTGAACAATTTTTTTTACCCCCAATATTTCAGATTTAGCTAAAACACCCCCGCTTATATAAAACATTAATTTATGATGAAATCACCCCCACCTCCTGCCGCCACCGCGAACCACTGCCGGATGTCCCCGTAAGTACGNCCATCAAACCTCACAAATCACCCCACAGCCACGTGTACGGTCAACATGCAATCATATTATGATGACTGGGGACATTACGTTGATACGGGTTTAAGAAAGGAAATCCCCTTCTTTCGAAACGGAGGAACGGGGTTATTAATCTCACTTATGACTTGTGAGCCGACACAGATTCAGATCATGACATCAATGGGCCCCTCTTGTGACCTATGCTTGTCGTAAAATATCGCGTAACCCATGTGTCAGCTTCAGTTAGTCAACGAGATTACAAGTAAAGAGTCCAAAAATTTAAATAATTGAAAGCCAGCGGCGCCGGCAGGTTCAACCATAAACACAAGGGGCTCATCTATCGTGCACCCATAGAGTCATGCACATTAGGGAGGATCCGTCAAGTGAAATATCAACTATATATCCATTCGGATACGGGTACGGGTTACTGACATAAGCTGTACACTTATTATTTCTGATCACTGCTTCTGGACGCTAAGGTCATGTGGTGGCTCATGTGGGGGCTGTTCCCTAACGAATCGTGTAAGAAGGGCAATCAAAACCAGAATTGTTTTACGCTCGTATGGGCCGCGTGGGGTTTAAGAGTTATGATCAAAATTCGAATGGAATGAAAGTTTTAATTAAAAAAGCTGTGGACACTCCATAATTCAGCAAAATTATTACTTTAAATTAATTTAAGACTCACTTATATGAAAATGTGTTAGGTTGATTAGAATAAATTGATGAATAATATGTTTAGTTAAGAAGATAAATCGGTAGATATATTATATAGATTATTAAATTATTCACCTTTTTAAATATTAATATAATAGTATTTTTTATTATAATTTTTTAAATAATTTATTTTAATTTCCTACTTTTCAGATTTAGCAAAAACATTATAACAACAAAAAACTTTTTAAACTTAATAAAAACAACCCTACCCATCCCAAGCCACTACCAGCCATAAATCTATGATCTATGGTCGGAAAAGGCCTCATGGCGCACGGTCGATCGTAAGCCATTATGGCGACTTTTGACAACCTCCGGTGGCAGTCCACGATGGCTGGCAGTGGTGTCTAGTTCTAGGTCTAATGACATTTCTGTAAATAATAACAATAACAAGGGCAATGTCATTTGAAAATTTTAAAATGTGAGGACAAAAAGGTCTGTATGAGTGAATTGAATTGGGTGTTTTATAAATTTTAACAAATATAAGACTAATTTGAACCAATTGCTCAATTGTTTAAGGACAATATGGGAAACAAAATTATATTACCTTAGGTAACTATCAATAATCCCCCACCCCCACCCCCCCGCGTATTAATATTCCCGACAACTTACCTCCCAAATGTCACTATTTGTCATAAAAGATTTTGAGAATAATTTTTTACAAACCAATCAAACATCGTCATCATCTCAATTTAAAAAATGTTACCCTAGTTATATAATATTACCTTAGGTAACTATTAATAACCCCCCACCCCCACCCCCCCGCGTATTAATATTCCCGACAACTTACCTCCCAAATGTCACTATTTGTCATAAAAGATTTCGAGAATAATTTTTTACAAACCAACCAAATATCGTCATCATCTCAATTTAAAAAATGTTACCCTAGTTATATAATATTAATCTCATCCAAACAAGCCCTTTAAATTAATTAAAGACTCACTTATTTGAAGATGCATTAAATTAATAATGATTTCTATTAAATTACATGGTGTTTTTAACGCCAATTACTTGTACATGATAATAGATATATGAGTAATGCTAGATCTACAACCCAATTTTATAATTTTCTCTCACAACCCTCGATGTAGCAGTCTGTAATTGGTTAACTTGCAAATGAGTCATGTTTGGCTTGCTATGAGTCTCGTTTGCCCATTTGCGAGCTAACCACAAACCAATTACAAGTTGCCACGTGGGGGGTGTAAGAAAATGTTGTGAATTGCCTATTTGCGAGCTAACTACAAACCAATTGCGAGTTACCACGTGGAGGGTTATGAGAAAAGGTTGTGGATTGCCTATTTGCGAGTTAACCACAAACCAATTAGGAGTACTCATGTGGGGGATTGTGAGAAAATGTTGTAGACCTAATATTATTTTGATAGATTTTATTTTGTATTGAAGTGATTATGCACCATGGAAGGCTCACGCGCCGGGAGAGATGTGTGGATATTAATTGCTTGAAAGTGATGGTCTTCATGGACAAATGAATCAATAGTTCATTATTTTATAAGGTATATAATACAGGGGATATAACAACCCCAACTCTATTTACAACTCTGCCGGACAAATAAAGTCGGTTCAGTGATGATATACTACTGCTTACATTATATGTAAAAGATTATAGTTTTTTTAAAATCCTGCGGGTCAACTTTAGTGTTCCCTACATTAATGTTATAAATACGTCCAAATTCTTGATAGTCAAATTTAGTGGCACTTGTGTTCATGGAGTTAATAAATGCAAATGGACCCATTGAGCAGTGTTTTAAGTTGTGAAGGATTATGGTTATTGACGAAAGGGTACGCTAGGTAACACCTGAACGTACGTCATCACGACGGAGGCCGGCTGGATATTGTACATTGTGTTCAGACTTCAGAGTTCAGACTGTTTCCCTGCAATACAAATAATAATTACCTTGTTCACAAGGGCAGAGGGGACAGGAGAAGGAAAGGACGATATGGGTTTAAACTTCAAGTGAAACAGAAAATAATTGAAGGTGCAGACATTTAAATTTATAGTTAGCATGGAAAAAGATACAGTGCATCAAGTGATTTAGCTTTCACGTGGACGTTCATTTAATTCATAGTCCTTTTGGCAATCCTTATGCACAATAAATCCATAGGTATATATATTTAACATGTATGGAAAAAAACAGTGCATCAAGTGCTTACAGGTTTGACATCAATTTTTCAATTAATTCTTCGTCCTTTAAAGCAATCTGTATACACAATAAAGACTAACAAGTAACAATTACTGTGTGTGATGTATAGGTGATATATATATTGGTGGATGATTTTGTGCGTTGCTGTTTGTTATAGTGCCGGTTCTGAGAGTGATATTGAATTGAGATGGTTTGTATTAATTTTGTGTGGACAGGTTGGGACAGTATTGTGAAAGCAGGTACATAGCAATGGCAATGGCCATAAAGATTTCGTGTGATGTTAAGCATGACGACAACATACGATTTGATCTGCAGAATTGACCTTGTGCATGGTGACCACGAGTACCAATTCCACAAGCCATTTATATAAAGAGAAATCTCTGCCGTGGTCCACGCTTCCATTACTTCCTGATCATAAATATCACAAAATCTCTTGCTTTTGAATCTTTACATCCAATCAATTTTAAGCTTTCGGTTACCAAAGATAAAGTCAATACAAGGCCTTCTCTTGTCATTTTACTCCATCATTAAGCTGGGAGCAACTCAACGCAAGTCAGCTCTTCTCCACTTCACGTTTAGGTTTATATCATAGAGGTAATGGCTGTAAACCCTCCGTGGTATACCTAAACCCCCTGGGGTATTAGGAATGACCCAAAAACCCCTCCGTAACCCAAACGTTATGTACCAACCGTAAAATCCAAGAGTAGAAGGGTACTTTTATTTATAACCCAAAATGAGGTATGTGCCATGTGGTACCCTTCTTCTCTTGGATTTAACGATTGGTGCATTAAGTTTGGGTTACGGCGGGGGGTTTTGGGTCATTCCTGATACCACGGGGGGTTTAGATCCACTAGAGTAACACTAGAGTAAACCTCGGGGGGTACTGCTTCTTAAATTGTCATTTAAGCATGTCACTGAATGGATGATATTTGATGTATTATATGGATTAGGGAAGAAGAAATGTGTTTGCAGAAGTAATTGAGGGAGAATTGCAATAGAGGGCCTACAACTTTAGAAAAGAGTGGGACCATAAGAGTAGTGATGCAAATGCAATCCCTCCTTATCTCATCACACCATATGGCAGACACCAAATTTACCACCATCAACGGTGCAGCTTTAAGGACCCCCAAACCCCAACTTTATGATGGTAGGGACCACCTCGCAACAAGTTCACTCCCCATCGCAATCACGAACCATACTGAGATCCCACGTGGGTTTTCTTGATTGGCTATCCCACTCGGACCCAAAAGTTTCATGGACGCCACTTAGTTGAGCCGGCTGCAATCTCCACGCCTGAAGGGAAGTTAAAGGAACCGCCACGTGTCCAACAGAGAACGTCATGGTGACGAGGAAAGTGTATTATCATTCCGATGATTATGTCATTAAAGTGGGTCCACATACCAGTACCATACCTTCCACGTCAGATGACTTTTCTTTTATTTACTTTGCTTTAGCAAATTGGTTACGTCAGGGTTTAATCTTAGGGTTCCACGTCGAAGTCAATGTGACGTCATGGTCATTTACTGGTACCACCAGCCCCCCATGTGACTGCTGCACGGCCACGCCACTTCTCCGGCAAGTATCCAGTATTTCGGAACTACCCTTATATGTAACGACAAAATTTATGCCTCTTTTGTGCTCCTCTACTCCACTCTCCAATCATTCTTCACTCTCTTTTTTTTTTTTTTTTGCTTTTCTACCCTCTCTAGAAAACCCATTTACTCATTACATTTTGGTTTGATTTTTGATACTATTTTCACAGAAATTGAGTGTACCAAAACCGTTGATGTGCCTATTTTAATCATTAGATTTTGGATTTGAGATGGAGAGTACTAAACTAGTCCATCCAACTATTTTCGCAGATTTGATTTGTTCCTCCAAACCATCTGATTCCCCGAGTTAACATCTTCATTCCCCAATGTAGAAGTAAGCCTCAAAACGGTGCGGACCTTTTTTTTTTTCTTTTTTGTTAGGTACATGAGGTATGCAAAATTATATGAAAGTTCGCCTAATCTTCAAAGTTACGAAACAGTTTATAAGTTTAATAGATCAAAATAATTACATAAATATGATAGATATCTCTCTTACAATAGTACAATTCGGATATGAAATTTATTGGATATAATTAACTTTAATGACTAAAAAGTTTATCATCTAACCACAATAAAAAAGTCAAGATTGAGACATGTTACCATCTTAATAATTAAGAAATATAATAATATCCGATCTAAACAAGATACTTTCATAATCGTTAAAGTCCCCGAATATAAGATTTATTGGAATTGAATGGTTAATCAAATGGAAGGAACAGTGAATTGTAATATGAAAATAATGTTTAACTAACTTTTGTTTGTTTCAAAATCATCTGCATGTACTTTATGTGGAAAATCCTTATTTACCCTAGAGCCCTCTGCCTTGAAAGCATCAAATAGAATACAGGCACGACTGTAAATAGGTCAAAGATGATTGGTAAAAAAAAAGGGAAAAGTAAAAAAGAAAAAGAAAGAAAGAAAGAATATTCTGTCATGTCAAAGCACGTAAAAAACACGTACAATGAATAGCGAGTGTGCTTCCAAAATTCCCCCAAAGCTGTGATCCCAAAGAACGTAATATCATATGTAACACAGTACTTTGTGATGTAAGCAACCACACCACACCCTACTCTTTCCCTCATTTATTAAACACCCCACAATACAACTCTTCTCTCCACTTTGCTTCCCCTATCACTCTGTTGACATCACCACCACCACGACCACCGCCACTCTCTCAATCTAAATCTCCGGCGATGCAAGGCCTACGACGTTACCAAAACGACATCGTTCATCTTGAACTTAACCCACCTTCTTCTTCTTCCACCGCCCCTCCCACTAACTTATCAATCGATGCTGAAGAATCCACTGAGACCAAAATCCAACGCCTCATCTCTGAACACCCAGTCATAATCTTCAGTCGATCTTCCTGCTGCATGTGCCACGTCATGAGGAAACTACTCGCCACCATCGGAGTTCACCCCACCGTCATCGAACTCGATGATCATGAGATCTCTGCTTTACCTCCGACCTCCTCTCATGATAACGATGACTCTCCTCGTAACCCTGCAGCGCCTGCCGTTTTCATTGGCGGCACCTGCGTCGGTGGCCTTGACTCTCTCTTTGCTCTCCATCTCAGCGGCCACCTCGTGCCTAAGCTTGTTGAAGTTGGCGCTCTCTGGGTATGATCAATATTTTTCTGATATATATCTTAAATTTGGGTTGTTAATTTGTTAAGTTAAGTGGGTCTCTTATTATTCTTCTGTAAGCGAGCATAAAACTAGGAAAAGAAGAAGTGTTAATGATTATCTTTGTTTTTGGGTTTAGTGTTCAAAATACTGAAAACAAGTTGAAGCTGTAGAAGAAATGAGAAAGTGAAGTGAGTTCGAGAATCTTAGGTTGTAGACTCAGTCGTTGTTGTTGTTCTTTGATGTTAAGCTTCTCTAGGGTTGATCTGTGTTATTGTAATCAATGAACTGGGGCCCAATACGTGGTACCTATATATATATATAAATAAATATGCAATTATTGAGCAATCAGAGCCGTTGAAGTTGTTCTAGCTAAAGAATGGTTAATAATGTGATCTGGGTTTAAGGGAGGAGATTGGGAATACTACTATTACTTGATGACAATGACGAGGCGAAGTGGCACTAGCAGATGCATGTTCTGACAAAGTTCTTCCCAATTATTGAACTCAAATCTTCTTCTGTTCTTCTCTTTGTCCATGTACTGTAAAGAAAAAAAAATTATTGTTCTTGCTTCTCTTCTCTTCTCTTCTATAAAAACATGTTAATTTAAGCTTTAATCTGAAGTTAATTTTATTATCAGTAATTTTAACAGTATTTGATGTGTTGTCTTTGGACTAAGTATATATTTTTACTTCACCATCAACGAGAATGTATATATTGATATTAAAACTAAAGAAAGCAGAAGCTAGCATATGATTGGAGAAAATTATATATAGGGGTGTTTGTCTAAGCTTATAAGCTGGTCAAATTAGCTTATAAGCTCTAAAATTAAGTTGACCTGTTTGTTTATAACATTATTTAGCTTATAAGTTGAGTTTATAAGCCAAAAAAAAAATAAGTTGGGGGGGAGGTACTTTTTTTTTTTTTTTGCTTATAAGCAAGTTTGACCAAATATATTACCACATTATCCTTGTTTAATTTTAAAATTTCTTAGTATACCCTTGTTTAATGTAGTACATTTTTTAGTCATTTTATAATAAAATATACTTATAAGCCATATTTTATCAAACACGTCAACTATTTATACGTCACTTATAAGTATTTTAATCAAACACGTAATTGCTTAAAATTTTAAATGCTTATATTAGTTTATAAGCAGTTATTGCTTATAAGCTAATTTTTATAAGCTCAGACAAACACCCCCATAATTTGAAGTTGGGAGGGGTAAAAATGAAAATTATTGAGATGATCCCGATGGTACTAGTTTTGTGGTTAATCTATGTATTTACGCATAAGACAAAAGCCGAGAGTCTTATTAAAATACAGGTAATTGTTATTTAAGGACACCCACAAATCTAGTAGAATAAATTGGAGTGTGTGTTTAGAAAACCGATGTATTTAAAAAAAAAAAAAAATGTAAGAGTGTATTTAGTATCACTCAAAGATAGCACGGATCTGGTAATGAATCTGTAATTGTTTGTTGGAGGGGGCCTCCTTGATCAAATCAACCCTTTTCAAAAGAAGATGAGCTGAAAATTGAAGGCAAAGACAAGGCCAGATTGTCAGGTATGCTATCAGACAATTGTAATAAACTGGCAAAGCCGACGCCCTCAACCACCTACAGCCTTGCCTTCAAATAATAGAAGATACTTTTCACCACAAAACAATAATATTAATTGGATTGTGTCCCACATTATACCAGTGTTTAATAATGGGATTACAATTGTCAGGATATTAACCTCACAATAAATTAATGGAGTTAATAATTAGGGTAAAAAGGAGTTGAGCAAGTTGAAGAGGGATTGGGACCCATTTCCTTTGGGTTTGGAAAAGAGAGGTGGGAGAAGAAGACCACAAAGCACAACCCACATTGAAGAAGAGGGAATGGCGTATGCATATACGTGTCACCTTTAATACAAAGTCACAAATGGCAAGCATGCAATGGTTTTGATTTACGATATGATACATCACCATTCACCACTCACGGTCACAGTCACGGACCCCATCTTAGAATCTTTACAGCCTAACGTAAGAAGAATCTACCTGTGATTCTCTTTCTCTGTAACTCTACTCTAATTAGTACTACCACAATCATTAATTTATTGAAATTAATAAAAATATATATATTTATATTTAAAGAAATGGGTATTCCCACTAAGGGTAGGGTTTGATGTTTGCACTTTATTTCCAAAACTTATTATCAGTCTAAAGTTGTAAAAGCATCTTCAACTACTTTTGCGAGTTCAGTTTTATTTTATTTATCCCTTTCTTTTTTATCAAGGCTGAAGTCATACTTTGGCTTTTTTTCTTTTATAATAATATACTATTACTGCCTTTGCCCCTTCCCACTTAGCTGCTTCTTCTTCTTCTTCTTCTTTGCTGACACACGTATATATATATATATACCTAAATTAAATTCCACTCCAGTTAAGCCCTTCCTCAGAACATTAATTTGCTGACCCATTCAGAAGTGACACCATTACAACACCACTTCCCCCATTGGAGTTAAGCACTAAGCTTAACTCACTTCTATAATTTACAATATAGTATATAATGCCCGCAACAAAATAATGTATTCCATTCCATCACTGAGGCTTATCATTGGACAGAAAGATTTGAGTCCACTAACCTAGCTAATAGAGTACACCACTTCATTAATCCATGTTTTTGTTACTTTATTTATATATATTATCCTTTTCATTGTCGGTACTATTAAATTATTTACTAATATTAGTCATATTATTGTTAATATAGAAGATTTTGTCATCACTGTTTTAACATTGCACTTTCCAAATGGAGCATAACCAAGAAGAGTAAAGTTGTACAAGGTGATGCAAACAATCTCTTTATCAGATTTATTAATATGTATCTTTAGGATACACATTTGACTATTAGTCCGATAAGAATATGATACCTTGTTTTTTTCTTATTGGTGAGAATAAGCAACAAAAACATGTCGTTACCACCATCTACGGCGGAGTCCAGCTTCCTATATCACTCACTAGAAGCTTTCTCCATACCCTGGCAAAAAAAACTTGATGAGCAATACTTAAATATTTATGTCGAGGGATGGGTGCGGGCCGGGTCGGGGACGGCAAATGGGGGTGGAGATTTTTCTCATAACCGTCCCTGGCCCGATGAACAGGGCTTCGCGAGGAATTTCCTCCAGCAAGGATTTATCCCCTGAACCAGGATTTTTTGTGCAGAGATTTTTGCCTAGTGTAGATCAAAACTTTCCGCATGTTCTTATGATAATAATATTAAATTATTTTAATTGTGAGAAACTAGCACTTTGGTAGATACTATATTTGACCATTTGACTGCTTAATTTCAATAGTTAATTCATTAAAAATGTTGAATTTAAGGTAAGAAAATATAAAATCAACAATTTCTTGTAAAATTTAAATTAAGATGTAAAAGCAATACATAACTGCCACCATAAACTAATTTAAATTACTAAGTTAGTGACACTTTTTCTATATATTATTAAATAGATGAATTTAGATTCCACATTCTGATGCTTTATATTGCTGAGATATTGTAATGTTCCACTGAAATAGTCTCATTTACTAAAATTCATAAAATAAATACCTGAAAGAAAATTTCGCTGAGAATTGATATGAATATGGTGAATAACAATATTTTTTTTGCAAAAATTGGAACATGCTCATGGATTTCAAAGCAATAAAATATAAACATCCTTCACATAAACCTCATAATATACTCAAATCATCTATTACGACATAAACCTCATAATATATTGGTTTGATTAATTGTAATAATCTAATTAAATTTATTTTTGGGCAATGTATTATTATTTTGTGAAATTTACAAAGCAATAATACATATATTTAATTATTAGACTCCCTCGTTTAAATTATTTTTGTATAAATTTAATACAAACATTAAAAAGTACTATAAAAGTTAATATTATAAATTTAGATAAATTACTTAAAGTCATGATTTAAACTCTAATTTTATATACAATCTCGCAAATAGAATAAAAAAAAACATAAAATTCTCAAAAAAACGGAGCGGGCCGAGCCAAGGATTACACTATCCCCTCCCTCGACCCGTCCCTGGGTGCGGGATTTTTCCGAGGACCATCCCCGAATTTTCTGAGAATTCTCCGCCCCATTCGGGCCGGGGCAAACGCTCATCTCTATTTATGCCAAAATATTAAGAATATGAAATATATCACACATGAAGTGGTCTCCCTCCCTATCAACTTAAGCCAAAAATTCCACCAATATTCGACTCATTTTATTTTCAACAAAACAATTGTGGTGTCAATTGCCAGAGCCTCAAAAATTCACGTGGCAAATGAATGTCATCTAGTCTNATCAGATTTATTAATATGTATCTTTAGGATACACATTTGACTATTAGTCCGATAAGAATATGATACCTTGTTTTTTTCTTATTGGTGAGAATAAGCAACAAAAACATGTCGTTACCACCATCTACGGCGGAGTCCAGCTTCCTATATCACTCACTAGAAGCTTTCTCCATACCCTGGCAAAAAAAACTTGATGAGCAATACTTAAATATTTATGTCGAGGGATGGGTGCGGGCCGGGTCGGGGACGGCAAATGGGGGTGGAGATTTTTCTCATAACCGTCCCTGGCCCGATGAACAGGGCTTCGCGAGGAATTTCCTCCAGCAAGGATTTATCCCCTGAACCAGGATTTTTTGTGCAGAGATTTTTGCCTAGTGTAGATCAAAACTTTCCGCATGTTCTTATGATAATAATATTAAATTATTTTAATTGTGAGAAACTAGCACTTTGGTAGATACTATATTTGACCATTTGACTGCTTAATTTCAATAGTTAATTCATTAAAAATGTTGAATTTAAGGTAAGAAAATATAAAATCAACAATTTCTTGTAAAATTTAAATTAAGATGTAAAAGCAATACATAACTGCCACCATAAACTAATTTAAATTACTAAGTTAGTGACACTTTTTCTATATATTATTAAATAGATGAATTTAGATTCCACATTCTGATGCTTTATATTGCTGAGATATTGTAATGTTCCACTGAAATAGTCTCATTTACTAAAATTCATAAAATAAATACCTGAAAGAAAATTTCGCTGAGAATTGATATGAATATGGTGAATAACAATATTTTTTTTGCAAAAATTGGAACATGCTCATGGATTTCAAAGCAATAAAATATAAACATCCTTCACATAAACCTCATAATATACTCAAATCATCTATTACGACATAAACCTCATAATATATTGGTTTGATTAATTGTAATAATCTAATTAAATTTATTTTTGGGCAATGTATTATTATTTTGTGAAATTTACAAAGCAATAATACATATATTTAATTATTAGACTCCCTCGTTTAAATTATTTTTGTATAAATTTAATACAAACATTAAAAAGTACTATAAAAGTTAATATTATAAATTTAGATAAATTACTTAAAGTCATGATTTAAACTCTAATTTTATATACAATCTCGCAAATAGAATAAAAAAAAACATAAAATTCTCAAAAAAACGGAGCGGGCCGAGCCAAGGATTACACTATCCCCTCCCTCGACCCGTCCCTGGGTGCGGGATTTTTCCGAGGACCATCCCCGAATTTTCTGAGAATTCTCCGCCCCATTCGGGCCGGGGCAAACGCTCATCTCTATTTATGCCAAAATATTAAGAATATGAAATATATAACACATGAAGTGGTCTCCCGTCTCCCTCCCGATCAACTTAAGCAAAAAATTCCACCAATTTCGACTCATTTTATTTTCAACAAAACAATTGTGGTGTCAATTGCCAGAGCCTCAAAAATTCACGTGGCAAATGAATGTCATCTAGTCTGTGTCGTTTGGCTGTATCAAACTCATTTGCGCTTTACAATGTTTCCCTCCTCTAATTCTCAAAACCCCTTTCTATCTAATTCTTCTGTTGAGATTATACGAAAAAAAAATTGACAGAAATTAGCTCCTGTTACAATCCGCTCCAGTTCATGAACTTCTTGATCTCATCATACAAAATCAAAATAGCAGCGGCACCAGTACTCCGGAACATGTTAGAAACTGCTCCACGATAAAATGATGTCACTCCCTCTTTCCTATAAATTGTCTTCCAGCAGTCCAGTGTGCTACGGTACATTGGTTGTTCCAAACCAGACTGCATCATCATCCGCCTGCGAACTGTATCCAATGGATATGACAACAACCCAGCAGATGTAGTGACTGCCTGAGCCACCACCCACCACTGCCATAATGCCAATTCAGGTTTAGATTCTTTGGACAAAATCTCCTTCATTGTATCAAAGCCCCCAAAATATAGGCCCCGGTGAACAACCATACCTTGTAAAGAGGCAGGTAGCCCTCTATAAACCCCTCGAATCCCATCTTTCTTGATTATGGTTGTCAGGAAATGGTAAAAGCCTCGGAATTGACGAGCCTCAGTTCTGCCAATGTCAGCAGCAAGGCGGGTGTGTGCAATATCAAGTGGGTAGATTAAGATCAATGTTGTACAACCAGCCGCAGCCCCAGCAATGAAGTTGGCCGCTGTACCAGACACAAAATTACCATCATGAGAGTTGCCATTCCTTAAAATGTTTCTGTAAAGATCCTGCATGTGGAAACATTCAATTAAGACTATGCAGTAATCAATTTTTCATTTGTATCAATTTTACCCTATATATATGTGGCCCAGATCTTTTATTACTTCATTCAAGAATTGATTTTGGCTCCATTATTCCAATATTTCTAGTTTTGACATAAATTTCCATCTAATTGCCTACTGCTTATTCTTGAGCTTTTCAACCCACGTCTTGACATCGACTCCTAGATTGTATATTCCTTTGTGTGACCAACTGTAATGGATAATATGCCCTATTTCTTTTACATTGATACAGATCAACTCAAATTAAAAACTAGCTTCATAGTTGTTCAATATAAGATTCTCATCACTGCAAATTGAGAAAAAATTCCTTCTAGCAATAATAATTATACTAGTTTAACTCTAATTCCATAAATCTCTTTTTTTAACCAAAAAAATAAGTCCACAATATGAAACTTTAAAACCACTATTGAACCAGAAATACACCTCGCTACTAAAAACCTAAAACAAATGTTCCTAGACAGAGACAAGCACAATAAGCTACTCAGTACCATATTTAAAACACATTACTTGATATCTACTACTGACTTCTTTGCGTCTCCTGGATTCATCTAAATCATTCCAGTCAATATCCAACAATAACTGTGAGAAGACTAACTCTTCTTATAATCCTTCCCATTGGCCCCAACAATCTTCAAGGCCATCCTACTTTATCACAACCAAATATTATCAGGTTACCAAACGACAACCTTCCTTGTTCTAGATACCGATTTGTCAAACTCTGTTCATATAACATTCAGAGTGCCATAAAAGCACCTTCTCAAAGTTTTTATTTGACTCCTCGCTAAATCAAAATATTAAAAATGACCTGCTCTATAAGCCAGCTTACTCAAGAGACAACAGATATAACAATTTATACACACATGTATACTGATATCCGTTTATTGCTACTATAATTCTACAATTTGTGCCAACAAACTGAATGAAGGATTACAAGCCAGCATTCTTGAGAGTAAAGAAAAGTTAGAAAAAAATGGAATAGACTAGGCATCCAGTAATGACAAAGAAACTTAATGCCCAGTCTGCTAAGAAATATTTGCAGATTTGGCTAAGTTAATTCATTTCCGAGTATAAAATATTTCTGTCAAAATAAGGAAATCAAATCACTAATTGTAGTCCATGCCACAGCAAAACTTGACCAATCTATTTCTCAACAACTGAAACAACAAACAAGAATATGTTGAATGTAGAAGCTATTACATGAAATAATGGTTCATTAGATTCATGAATAGCATATCTATAATCTTACACAAAGTAAATTTATGTAAAAGTGGTACCTTGAATAACTGAAGAGTGCACCCAAGATAAACACACAAGATTTAAACTCTAAATTCAACTTCATCTATATTTATTGTGAGACAAAATTTATCAAACCAGCCTACCCATTACAACATAGAAACATTTTATCAATCACCTTATGTTCAAAACATAAACCTCCGAAAAAATATTCAAGAAATAACACCAAACGAAAAGAACCGCACAAACCAATAAAATTTGCATTAAAACGATTGCAAGATAACAATAAACTGAAGTTTAAAAAAAGAAAAAAAAAAAAAAATCTTGATTAGATACCTTAAGAGAGAAATTAAGCGCAACAGAAGGGTAATAACGAAGCACACTACTGCCATTGCCTCTCCAAAGAGATAAAAGGCCTTCTTCTCGGGCTGTACGGACAATACAATCAAGCATACCCTTAAATTTTCTTCGTCCACTCCCAACAATGGCCAGGTTGCTGTCTTGGGTCTGCAACAACAGTTTCGTTCTCTCGATTGGGGCCACAATCGTGTGCACTACACCGCCCATCACCGCCCCCGCAAACAGATCACGGTGAAAGTTGCTCAACCATTTGTACGGCGATGATGATGATTTTGACCCACGCTTTTCTGGGTCCTCATCATCTTGGCCCATTCTTGGAAACTCTTGTTTGTATTCGCAAAATATTTCCTGAATTGCAAGTGAAGAACTAGGGAAAAAATAATAATAAAAGGCTTTTATGGTGATTAGCCATTTAATATACGGGTAGATAATATTGTTTATGATAGGATTAGATAAATGATTTTGTGATTTAAGTCTCAATAATGCTGCTGTTGAATTGAATTGTTCATTAATACTTGCGTGTTTGTTTATATTTCAGATTAATATGATCACTATTTGCCACGTGGGATTCTGATCTCTTCTTTGCCTACCGACTACTGACAATTATTTTTTATTGTGAAAAACAAATATATTTTGTTTCTAATAAATTTCCCAAATAATGGTTTGGGAGTCTGTAATTAACCTTCAAAGTAATGGTTTGCACGATTTGTGGGCTCCTGGACCTGGTCCCATCGTTATCAATTAGCCAACTTCGGATAAACTCTAGTAGTTATACGACTCTTCATTAGTCCAAAACACTGCCAATTATTGAATAGTCTATCTGCAAAAGAATAAAGGCAAAATACTCGAACAAGACAACCAAATAAACCCCAGAAAAAGAAGCTTGGACTCATTTACACCACCCATTGAGTGGTATAAGCAGAAACTTTCAAGATTTTGAGCATTTAATCCAATTCTGGATATTCTTGCATTTCTGCTTATTTAACTAGTTTTGATGCTACAAGCTTGGCTGCAACCTATCAGTTGATTTGTTCTGTTTCAAATAATATGGAGCAATGCAGCAAAACCACTAGGTTGCCTACTGTTGCATATCTATTGCTTTCAAAATATGCTTGGGCCAATAACACTTTAAATTACACTTTTCGAATATGATGCCTTAAAACTTTCTTCCTGACTGATGTGGGCTTTATTCATACTCCAAGCATCCAACCTTTCGATAACTACACTCTGAGTTCCATTATTGAATGCATAAAGGCGGGCCTCTTTCTCAGTAGCCAACTTCGGGTAAACTCTAGCTGTGATACAAGTACTTCCTCCTCCTCCAAAACTCTCAATAATAGAGTGGTCTATCTGCAATCAGAATTTGAAGCCAATATTACAAATCTAAAAGAAAGGAAGCCAATGATAAAAAAAAAACTAGCTTCTTGTCAACATACCAAGCATCTTAACGAAATTTTTTCGTGGCGAGGATCAATGGATACAAAAGCTCCGTATGTGGTTTTATCAATATTCTTTCTTAAAGAAGACCTGTTACCACTATTAAGTTTTATACATCTAGCTCAAGTTAAAATAAAAACAATAGGTTATGGTGTGGGGTTTAGTTTAGAAATAGACCTGCTCTGATCACTGCACATGAGTACAATATATCTATTGTGGCCTTTGAAAACTCGAAAGAAGATTGCTGTTTGTTCTGTCAAGTCTTTTGATGCCAAAGTCAACAAACCAAATGGTCCGAATTTGCTATATGTTGACGCATTTCTGTGATTACAGAGTAGTTGGGGATCAGCCCAATCTGGGTTAATGAACTCAGCCTTTTCTGGTTCAGGCAATTCAAATACAATTTCTGCATCAACCTGAAAAGATATGAAGTTATAAACATAGAAATGCAAAATCATTGGTTGGCCATACGATTAGAGAGATAAACTTGGAAGTTAACAACTCACCTGTGAGGCAGTAATGCCTAAAACTTCTAATACTGACGCACTTTCAAGTTTCTTATCATGGATACTGACTTGCTTGCCCCTTAGTGTTTCAATTTCTTCAACCGGCCACTGTACTAATTGTTTTCCACTTTTGTCAAGCCAAATACGTCTAGGAATTGACTGCAAACAGAGTCCATATACTGTTAAGATTCATAAATGTAATTCTACACTTGTAGAATATATTTATCTCCAATTGAACTTAAATCACCTGGACTCCAAACCATCCTTTCTCAATATCATCTTCTATGCTATCAGACTCATTCACCCAACCCCACAATATCCTCCTGTTCTTGACATTGTCGAAAAAGGTTTTAGAAGCGTAGAATTTCCCATAATCATACCTTAAGTCCAAACAGGTTCCCTCAAAGTCATTCTCAGCTACAAATTCTTCCATCTCAGGAAAATAAGTTCCAATCATGTAATAATCATGATCATTAAAACTCGCCTTCATTACATGCTTAACATTTGGATTTTGGACTGAAGTGTCAACCCCATTTGTGCTGTTAATAGAAACAGGATAAAAGTCTGGACACTCCCACATTCCTGTCTTTTCTGATGAATAAAGAGGATGTTGAAATTTGGTCCAGTGAATAAAATCCTTACTTTGATAAAGAATCCCCATTCCTTGAGTTTTGCTCTGGCTTCCGATGACCACTCTCCATTTTCCATCAGGACCTTGCCATGCAGTTGTTGGGTCTCTAAACTTATCTTCCTTAACACCATCTGGTGGAATCATGACAGGATTTTCTGAAAATTTTACCCATTCTTTAAGTAATGGATCGGACAAATTCTTAGGCATTGCTATATTCTGAACCTGACGACCTTTAGCATCAATTCCAGTGTATAAAATTAAAGGTTTGCTCCCTGGAAGGATTGTAGTGGAACCAGACCAGCAACTGTTAATGTCATAAGGCTCGGACGGACAAAGGGCATGATTAAGATGAATTCAGTTGATGAGATCATATGAAACAGAATGTGCCCATATCATAATATCACCAAAAACTGCTCCAAGTGGATTGTACTGGTAGAATAAATGATACACTCCTTTATAAAACATTGGCCCTGAAATATATTGCACAAAAACATAACTTGGGAGGCAGTCTCACCGGCTAAGAAAAGCTAGAGAAATTGCCAGTTCATGCTGTGCCTGCTGGTCCTATTTTGTACATATGGATGAACAATTAATATTACGTTCTTTTTGGATGACTAAAATTATGCATCAATCGTTCTGCTAATTTCCCGATTCGATCACACAAGGTAATTGACATTATCTTTTCCTTGTCAGTGAACAAGCTATAAACAGTAAGTTCACTAGATACGAGAATCTGATAAATAACATCGTTAATTTATAAATTTTATTCCATCGGTATCGATTGTCGATTAGTAACCTCAAATGTCAAGCAAACGGGAAAAGCAAGGGTCAGATAACGGAATAATTCACAAACTTACCATTGGGATCTGTATCGAGGAAGGCACCCATTTGCATATTCCACCGCCATAACGAATCAAATGATAGAAAAAAGGAATATGGAAAAGCCAAATTAGTGACAGTTACAGAACATAAAATGGGGATGCTAAAAGTGAATGATATCCAACCTAATTTTCAAGATGAATTCATACCGTTAATCCAATTTTGTTGAGGCTGGAAGTGGTAAGAAGTTCTGTAAGGCTGCTTCGCTGGCAGCTCAACCTGCAGAGATTGTAAGTTCTCGTGTTTCTGGACACATGAACCTTCAGTTCCACTGCATAGCAGTAGAGAACAGAACCACAGAACTACCAAACATGCATATATCGTCATGTTGCCTTCTATTGGCGTAGAGATCATCCACCAATAACATCGTAGAAAAGAATCACACCATGCATAACACTTTTCAGAAATCTTGTCGATTTGGGTGATGAACTTGATAGGTCTACATATACGTGACAAGCTCAAGCAGAGCAATTTGCTATTGATTAGCCAGCCTTTATGAGGTTCCCACCCATCGATTTTATCAAAAATCTCATCTTTGAATCAAAAGTCATACAGAAGTAAAGTTTACGGAACGGAAATTCTTGATTAATTGGCACTAAAGTATTCTTGATGTGGGTACCATACCACGCGGATTTGATAAAGATGGTTTTAGGCACCACCCTCCTTTATCCATATCCTTCTTGCAACAATAAAACCCATAATTTTCGGAGTTAACGGCTTTTTCCCACCCAAATAATGGTTTAATAATATTTTCCTACTCACATAAATGACATACTTTTAAAATACTATTTTACTGTCTAAATTTATATTTCGATAAATAGAGAGCAAACTCAGTCCAAGTTGTTGGGGCCTTTAAAAAAGGAAGACCGATGAGTCTTTTTGTGATAGAAGATTGGATTTTAGTAGTTAGGATTTAACGGAATTTGACTTGAGAGAGGCAACTGTGCAAACCCTAATTACTCGATTGTCAGTTATTGGCGGAAATAGAGTTTAAGGGGTTTTGGTGAGTGATGGTCGAGGAAGAGAATAATGATAGTTTGGAATCGCAACGATGTCGGAATAAAAAAAGAAATATAAATTTGGATAGTAAAATAGTATTTTAAAAGTCTGTGGGTGTGAATGGGTCATTAAACCATTATTTGGGTGGAAAAAAATGATAATAAAGATTCTATCGTGCTCTTAATGTGCATCAATTTATATACAAGTAATTATAAATGCTGTTTTTAATTGAAGGATGTGATAAAAAAAATATATACCAGGCGTCGGGCGTCGGCTCACACCTTCGTTTTATTTAGTTTGCAGGTTGAATTGGTGCAGATATTCTTGCTAAGACTTTGGTACATTAATTAATCTAGATCCGATTAACTATTGATTATTGGTTAGAATGCACACTCTATGAAGAGGTGGTAAGTAGTTCATCAGTAAGTAGTGTTTGTTTAATAAAAGGAATTTGGCAGAAAATCTTGCGGGCTATCTTTGCCAACAGCCCAAAATTAATAATTAATCCTTTTTTTATTCCATTATTTAATCCATCACAGCATGATGTAGGCGTAAGAATAATAAAATAATTAAAGTTAAGGGAATGATGAGCTGGCCGGGAGCATATAATGTTGAAACTCAACTATTCATTAATCAAATAATTAAGCAGATAACAATGGAAGGCTAACTAAGGGAGAATAACTTTTTAGTCGTTCAAGGTTTCATCTCTTTGCTCCAATAGTTTTAGAAAATAGCATTTTCATCCCTGTATAGTGTATCCAACGCTATTAAGTCAATTTTTAACGAACACAGCATGGACGTTTATATGAGATAAGTTTAATCTCTTCTTTCATTCTCTAAGCCAGTAGCACTAGACAAAGTCCAAACGATTTTTTGTTACCACTTTTCTTTTATTATTAAATTTTTTAATGAAATTAATTCCTATATACAATCAAAGTTTAAGAGTTTGATGTTGGTTTTGGCTGTAGAATTGGTTGGGGATGTGGGCTTTGGAGGTGTCAAAGGTTTGTTGTTAGAGAAGCTTGAGTGAGGGGACACGATGGTGATATGTAAAACATTTTGAGGAAAAAAGAAAGATTTTTATAAATGGATTGTACTTCTAGAACCTAATCAATGTGTTTTGCTGTGTTTTTTTAATCCCTATTATTCCAAAGTTGATTAATTAACTAAAGTAATCATGCAAAACATTTTATTTTATTTTATCACTAGAGATATTCGGGCCAGTTTGTGCATACTTCAACTAATTTCTAGGAACCTTGAAATTGCTAGTTAGGTAAATGCCTTATTGATCACCCTTGTTAATGCTTAGGAGAACTTAAACTTAAGAGTTCATAAAATCTTTTTTTACTCTTTTTTCATCAACCACCCAGGTTTATGTAAAACATTTATTAGTCATTGTACTGAGACAAAATTTTAACAACTGTCAATGTCAATCCTTGAAAATTAAGGATGTAAGTGTTAGTTTCTGCAACTATTGGGGCTCCCCTGTTAATGAATTCAAAATTAGTTTTTCTTTAATGGATCTCTAGTGTGAACACAAAACCTACTGACCAGAACATGACGAAGCATATAGACAGTATATCTGCAAAACAAAGTGACTTTATTTAATTTCTTGCTTATAGTATCCGAATAATTGAGAAATAAAACTATGTGCACTAATCAATATGTGCTAATCCAAGTATTAACATTGGAAATTTGAAATTCCCTTAAAAAAAAAAATTCAAATTTCCAATGTTAGTACTTGAATTAGTATACATTAGTTAGGACATATAACATTACTCATAATTGAGTGTGTGGGGACAAAAGGTCGACTAGTTTTCTCATTTTGGTTTGACTACATTGTCTTTGATGGTCAATTTGTCAAGAATTAATAAGATACTCTGTAACATATAATAAAAAGGTGAATAGAATCAATCAACAACAATTTAACATCCAAAATTCAACTCACACGTTCACCGAAAAATATATCTATATATATGGACTGTAGTACTTGAGATTGATTGGATCTGTAGCCTATAAATGAATTTGTCATATTATAAAATAACTAAAAGAAATCTCAAAACGTCTATATATCAACATATATAATGCAGACATCATTTTCTCAAGAAATGTTTAGTTCTTCGAGTACTCCAGATATTCATCAAACGATTAAATGATATTTTAATATTAATAAAAATAAAAGCTTTTAAATGAAAAAGAAGAATAGAACTGTTTTCCATGAGAATGTCTGTGCAGGAACTCAATGAGTGAACCAATCATAGTGTAGTGTAGCACAGAAGAAAGAGTTCTTGCTTTTCGACTCGATCTGTTACGCACCATGTTAAAAAGTCTGTAATCAACGTCTTATCGTCTCTTTCTACGTGTGTTCTTGGTTTACTATATAGCTTGTAAAATCTAACAGTACTTTATAGCTCCTTTTTCTTTTCTTTTCTTTTTTTTTTGAGAATGGGGAAAGATCAGGTGGTGTAAATTAATCACTGTTAAGGAAAATAATAATGTGGTAAAGCAAATACGATGATTAAAGAATAAGTATTCTTGGACTTGGTAGACACCAAAAGAAACGACAGAAAGTGCAACGTCAGAGCAAAACTGTAATTACCCTTTGGTTTTCGTTTCAGATGAGTGCAGTAGTTTAAAGGAATCTCTTCTCAGCCACATCTTTCTCTCTCTCATATTTGCTAGCTCTTCATTTTGTTATTATGAGAGTTTCGTTTAGTTTTCTTGTACGTTTTTGTTAAATCTTCTTGGTGTCTGCTATTAGCGCACACAGAATTTTTTTGAAGATTTTGAAGGGATTTAATGTGTTCAAGGTGCTGCTAATTCACTTACAAATCTTTTTCATCCGTTTTTGCTATCTTTGTTCTTTTGCAAATTTTTAATTTTTTTTTGGGTTTTGGAAAGAGAAGAACGATTAACCACAAGAAGAACTGGGAGAACCTAGCTGAATCGGCTTCTCTACTTTCTTTAGTTTATCTCTTTCCTCTTATATCAACCAGTCTTTCTAAATTAGGGTTTCTGCAGTCAGATCTCAGGACATGCTATCACAGATGTACCTAAATTAAGTTGATCTATATCCATAAATGAAACTTGTAGAGTCTGTGTCATCGTCTACTGAAATCCTTTGATTTAAAATAGGGAGGATGATAAAAGGTTTTGTAGTAGAAGAGAATATGTCCCATTTAACTTGTACATCTGGTGAAGTAAGTGCATCTTCAAGTTCCAGAGTTGAAACTGGAACCATGTACACACAAGCTTCAACAGATCAAGCTCCACCACCAAAGAAGAAGAGAAATCTTCCGGGAAACCCAGGTTAATTAAAATATATTTCAAGTCAAATTAAATGAGCGGTGTCTTTCCTTTTAATAACTAATCGGATATTGGTGATAAAGTTTCTATTATTTACATTAATAATTCTATGTCTAGTGGGTTTTTAATAAGATAGTTTGTATTTGAATCAGACCCAGATGCAGAAGTTATAGCTTTGTCTCCGAAAAGTCTCATGGCCACAAACAGATTTATATGTGAGATCTGCAACAAAGGGTTTCAAAGAGACCAGAATCTTCAGCTTCATAGAAGAGGGCATAACCTGCCATGGAAGTTAAAGCAAAAATCAAACAAAGTGGAGAGGAGGAAGGTGTATGTTTGCCCAGAGCCTACATGTGTTCACAATGATCCATCAAGGGCTCTTGGAGACCTAACCGGGATCAAGAAGCACTTCAGCAGAAAGCATGGTGAGAAGAAGTGGAAGTGTGAAAAGTGCTCAAAGCGGTACGCTGTTCAATCAGATTGGAAAGCTCACTCCAAGATTTGTGGTACAAGAGAGTATAGATGTGACTGCGGAAAACTTTTCTCCAGGTAAGAACAACCATTTTATCTTGTCACTCAAAAATAATTAAATTAATTTAATAATTTTAAGTTCATTCAAGAACAAATTAAATTCATCATATCGGTTTGGTTTAAATCTTCTTTAACAGATACCGCAGTAGCTCTATGTATAATACTCCCCTCTTTTTATTTGTCCTCGAGGAAGAAGAAATAAAAAGAAGAAGGAAGCAAGGTGTCTCATTTTTTTTATATTTATACGCACTAGTACATTTGTATATGGAAAAATCTGACGAAGCGCAGATGAGAGAGAAACAGTGAAAGACTTGAACTTTTTTGAGTTTAAAATTACAATGGGGTACTGTAAAGTGCATTGATTAGGAAACCTTTAATCGCGACATCAACTAAAAAAAGAATGAAAATACAAAAAGTTGACGAGAGAGAGAGAGATTAGACACTGTTCATTCTGCGCATTTTGATGGGTTTTCTTTTTGTTCTTTTCCTTGTTTTAATGGTTACAGAAGGGACAGTTTCATCACTCATCGAGCCTTTTGTGACGTTCTTGCAGAAGAGAGTGCAAGAGCTATCACAACAAACCCATTTCTCTCTTCACAACAACCTAATTCCTTAGCATCCAATTTTCTCAATTTGCCACCCCAACTTCAAACTCATGGCCTTCAACCTCTATCAGTGAAAAGAGAACAAGACCAACACCATATTTTCAATCCAAGACCAAATAATAACAGTGTTCCGCCATGGTTAGCTTGCCCACAAGGAACTCTAGCAGCTGGTCCTGGTACCCCTCACATCGATTTCTCCTCGCCATTATTTTCTGGAAGTTGTTTGGACCAGTCCATCATAGACCGTCAAAACCCTAATTCTAATGCACTTGCTAAATTCCAGTCTCAGACAAGTTCCCCACACATGTCCGCAACTGCTCTTCTGCAAAAAGCGGCAGAAATGGGCGTGACCATGAGCAAATCCTCTCCGCTACACTCAGCCATGCTTAGACCCCACCAAGCTCACATGTATGAAAACATTGGTTCCACATCTACAGTTGGTTCTGCTCTAGGTTTGTCCTCACGTGAAGAGTTGGCAAGTGGGTTTGTTCATAGCTTGGCATCTTTTGGAAATAAAGCTGCCGTTACCTCTAGTTTCATGGAACAGTTTGGTGCATGTGATGCAGCTACTGGAGCTGGAGGTGGAGCATCTCCCTCTCTTCTCCATGATATGATGAGTTGTTTGTCTTCTGCAAGTGGGTTTGATGAAGGTCTGAATGGGTATCATAATCTTCATGAAACATTCTCAAGAACAACAGAACCCCGACTTAGCCAAAATGATCATGACAATAAAGGCAGTGATGGTTTGACGAGAGATTTCTTGGGTCTGAAAGCTTTTCCCCATAGAGACTTTATCAATATGACAGGGCTTGATCGCATAAATTCCTCTTCTTCTTCTTCAGCATATGAACAACATAATCAGAACCAAAGACCTTGGCAAGGTTAATTAGCTTATGAATGACCGTGCTTTCTTAAGTTTCTATTGAGAGAAACCGATTTACAGCCTAATGCCATGCATGGCTTATGTTAAGTTATCTTGTTACCTCCATTTTTGTTTCTGTTTCATTTTTCATCATTTGGATCTATAATTTATTTCTGTTTTACAATTCGTCAAATGTTCATCTTTATAGACGATATATATTAGCAATTAGGACGTAATTGTTAGCTTTATTTTCTTCTATTTTTTTTCCGTTCAGAAAAAATATTTAGCACAGGCCAGTCTGTGAAAGCTCTCTTGTTAACTTAGTCTTCATTTAAATAATGAAGCTAATAAAGGAAAGAAAAACGATGTTATGTCACGCACATATGTACTATTGTAACGAAGCACATATAAATTGTTACTATAAATTAAGGACATTACTACTGTAGCGGAGGAATCAACTTTAAAAAATCCCTATTATCTTACTCATCTCCTCATTCTATACCATGTACATTAGTTTTGTATGGATAAATGTATATATTTCATTAATTAATAATGTATAGAGCAGAGCTCCCATTGAATAGACGAAAAACTTACTCTTATGAATCAATATGAGAGCCACAAAAACCAATAATAATTTTGGCGAGGAATTTTCATGGACAAATTAAAAATTAATTTGGCGTAAAAAGCAAATGGTGGAAGGTTATAGTTTCTACATACATTTTACTAATTCTTTTAGTTTTATTATATTTTATAGAACCTGGGAGATTTATCCATTCCATTCATTTTGTCTACACTACTTTTCGAAAGAAATTTTTATGATGATCGAAGGTATTCGGGTCAGTTTACGCTTACCTCAATTAATCCTTTGGGATCTTAAAACTACCGATCGAATAAGAGTTTTATCAATATCCACCCATTTTAGAGGTCGAGGTGAATCAAATTCAGAATATCTTGAATAATACACATAAAAGTTATAATTGACTAGTCGAATGGTTATGCATAATTAATTTATATTCCTTTTTTTTTTTTTTTTTTTTTTTTTTGTTTTCTAAAAGCCCAAGAACTGGAAGATGTTTTAAACCTCAAATCTCAATTGGCCCAAGTCCAAATGGTGTACTAAAACATGAACACGATGCATTTAGAAGTAATTATAAAATAATATCTAGCTGCATGTTTGGCTTAATATTTTTCCCTATCTGGATCCTATTCTCTAAATAATGTTTGGCACATTATTCCAGAATATTATCTTATTTTTTTAATTCATTTTAACCCCATAAGGTTATTAATTCACTAAATACCCCTGAAAAAAAAGTTTAAAAATTAACAAAAACACCCCCATCAACCCAACTTGTCAGATTTCGATAACCACCGTCGGTGATAGCCGGAATCTGTACAAACGCCTAACTTCCGACCAGAAATGACCGGAAGTTCACCGCTGTGGCCTTTTCCTGCCAGATCCACCACGGATCTGGCCGAAAAGGCCAGATCTGGCCGTCAACGACGGCCAAAGAAATGGCCGTCGGTTGACCGAAAACGACGGCCACATCTGGCCCTCTTTTGCCTTTTCCGGCCGTCGACGGCCATAACAGACCGTAGATCTGGCCTTTTTCGGCCAGATCCACCATGGATCTGGCCGGAAAAGGCCATAACGGCGTGTTACGGTACAATCCGACCGGTCTGTGCCGTAACGAAATTTTCCGGTCAGATTCCGCGGTCGTGGCTGGAATCTGACACTGCAGGTGTGGGGGTGTTTTTGTCATTTTATATGTTAGGGTCTTTAGTTAATTAATAAACCTAAGGCTTTTTCACAAATTTTTAAAATTTATCTCGTATACTCCCCTATCCAATAACCCAATACTATCCCTAAAATCCTATCCAAAATACAAACCAAACGTACCCTAGGATATTATATTTATTTGTATTAATTAGTCTTATTTAAAACTACATTTTCTTAATTTGATATAAAAATTAGAGTTGCAATTTCCAAATATGTGTCCCTCATCTTGTATTATATTTTTTGTACACTCACATAAGTTGTTAGTGCCTAAACAACCCTTTATTGTCGGTTTTTACCATTGTTGATTATTGATTTTTAGAAGTGGACAATACAAAGTCAAATATCTATTTCGCAACAAGGGCATTACCGACATTGCATTAACTCTTACTCAACGTCTTTTAACGCAACCTCTATCTCGCCCTCTGTACCTCTATTTCGCGTTTTCGTTTCCCCATTTCTTGCCAACCATACACCGCCCCCAATATACACCATATATTTGTATACTTTAGAAACCTTTTTTTTTTTTTTTTGGTTTCTTTGAAGGTAAACCGAGAGGAGAAGGGGGAGTTGTTTAATTAAGATCTTACGAATCGTGGTCTCTGAAGAGGCTATGGCTTTGAGGCGCCTAATCACAGATGTCAGCTGCTCATATCCTTACTTGATTTGTTTTTATTTTTTTAAAATTAATTATAGCTGGTTATATAGCTCTTTTTTTTCTTTTTTTTTTTTTAAATATATTTTTGATGATTCAGTTTGCAAATTCGCGGGACTATAGAAACCCTAAGTTTAATATTACTGGGGATTCGATTGGTTTAGCTAATCCTTAATTAGTAATCTTGGGTAATTTTGAATTAAGGTGTATTTGATTTGTAACTGTTGCATTGTTGATTAAAACGAGAGCATTGTGTTAAGGTAGGATTCTGAATAAAATATTGATGTATTTTGGACAGGATAGGGAGATATCTATTAGGTCTCGTTTGAGATTGCATCTTTATTTAATATGAATTAGCCTGTGTTTGGCTAAATGTTGTTAGAGCTGAATCTTGATTGAACATTCATGTTTCACAGCTGATTTATTCATATTCTGTGTTTTCCGCTGCTCTTTCTTTTTTCATCAATTAAACTCCGTATTTTGCTTCATTAGGTTTGTAAGCATCGATCTGAGTTGGGGCAAGTAAAAAATTTGTTTGTTAGAACTTATCCTGTCAACAAGTTTGGAGGTGCTGGAGGTATGCATTTCTATGTCATCTAGAAGTTCTACATTTGTCTCACGTTTATTATTAATTTTTGTTTTCTAATATTTAATAGATTGTTGTTATTTGGTTAAACTTACTTACTTTGTTTTGATGAACTGTGTTGCTTTGGGAGTTTTTTGATAGTTGGCTGTTCTGCTTCTAAATGTCTTAAAACAGAATGAGTTGCTCCATTTTCTTTTTCGCCTTTGGACTTTGCATAGGCATTACATGAAGCAAAAGATTAGGCAACCTTTTTTGTTTATCTTTGTTTTCAGTTATGAGAATACTTTCCTTTTCCTTCTTTTTATAGGTAACAGTTCTCAACGAAGGTTTCAGTCAAATTATGCTGGTAATTTTGCTCGTAGAATACGTGATTCAGATGAAGCAAGTGAGGTTGCCCATCTTCGAGAACTTTACCGTCGAAATGATCCTGAAGCAGTGATTAGACTATTTGAAAGCCAACCATCATTACATTCTAACCAGGCAGCACTTTCTGAATATGTTAAAGCATTAGTTAAAGTTGACAGGCTGGATGGCAGTGAGCTGCTTAAGACATTGCAAAGAGGTGGGTGGGAAAATAAATTTTTTATTTTACAAATATATCACTATTGTGAGCATTGTATATACTGATGGAGTGCAAAGTGGAGATGTTTAAATCATTTTGCATATTATTCTTGGTTTTCACAACACATTCCTGATTCAGATATGCATGTTGCCAAGTGGCATGCTGGTATTGTTATCGAAAAAGTGAACAAAGTGGATACCTACTGGTTTGAAATCTGGACTGAGTTTATCTTTTTAAATTTTGGAATGTGTTTTTGCTTTGTTACAGATGTTATTTATTTTATTTTTTATTTGTTAAGCAAGAGGTTTCTATGATTTTTGTAGGTATTGCCAACTCAGCAAGGGAAGAAGAAAGTATAGGAGCCTTTTCGGCTCTTAAGAATGTGGGAAAATCAACAAAAGATGGTATTCTTGGAACTGCCAGGGCTCCTATACACATGGTGGCAGCTGAAGGAGGGCATTTTAAGGAGCAGTTGTGGCGTACGATTCGCACAATTGCACTGGGTTTTCTATTGATTTCTGGTGTTGGAGCACTTATTGAGGATAGAGGAATCAGTAAAGGTATAATTATATAATGATACCTTTTGGTTTTACTATGATATTGGTTACTAGGACATATTCAAATTGCATTTAATTTAACACAGTTTTTCTTATCCGTGATTCTCTATGTTTTAGGACTTGGTTTGCACGAAGAAGTGCAGCCTAGCATGGAATCTAACACAAAGTTTAGTGATGTAAAGGGTGTTGATGAGGCAAAACAAGAGCTTGAAGAAATTGTCCACTATCTTCGAGATCCAAAGGTAAATTACTAATAATCATCACTCTGTGTATGCGTGAGTGCATACAACTGCACTACTGTTAGTCTATCTCTGTGTGAATGTTTATGGGACACTGACACTTAAATGGTTGTGCAAGTTGCACGCTTAGAAGAGAAATTATGTTGGGGTCTACACTCAAAGGTAATCTATGATGTGTAGAGAGAGAGAGAGAGAGAGAGAGAGAGAGAGAGATTGAATCTTTCTTGATGAAGTCCCCAAACAGTCAATTTTGCCTCTTTTTAACAGGGCATCTTAGTGCAAACAATATCTTAGCCATTTCCTCATGGCTTGTGTCAGTTTGCGTCCTAGACAAGTTTGACACGTAGTTGTCTTCCTGCAACCCGTTCTAAGTATTAAATTCCATGTAAAGAGGTGCAACACTCGTAGTTGCATACATATCTAGGTGTCATCAATAAGTTAAACTAGACTCTTTGGTTGTCTTTCTTCTGACTGGGCTACAATGTTGCTTATTCTACCTATGTGATCACTCTTTGATATGGTAGAGGTTTTCTGCTATTTTTATCCTTGGTGGGTGAGATTTCACTGAATTGAAGTTGTTTCTATGTTCAAAATGAGATGTTTCTTTAGTTATAATTTTGCTAAAAAAATTGTAAATCTTTGATTTTCCTTAATATGTTGGATGCTGACAATATTGTTCAGTCACATTATGCAATTGATCTTTCTTCAGCGGTTGAGAGTATGGAAATTCTGTTTATATATCCTTCTCTCTTCTGTTGCAGATATGGCAATTTGAGTGCATAGAATGTGTCTGGAATCATAAATTAAGATGCAATATCTATGATATTTGTGATTGAAATGTTGGACATTCCCTCTCAGTATGTTTCTTAATCCAAAGGAAGGTTGATTTTGATTCCTTGAGTTTTTGGCTTTCCTTGTTACAGCGCTTCACTCGTTTAGGTGGCAAGCTTCCAAAAGGTGTTTTGCTTGTTGGTCCACCTGGCACCGGAAAAACCATGTTGGCAAGAGCTATTGCTGGAGAAGCTGGGGTTCCTTTCTTCTCATGCAGTGGCAGTGAGTTTGAAGAGATGTTTGTTGGCGTTGGAGCTCGGAGAGTGAGAGATCTCTTTTCTGCAGCAAAGAAGCGGTCACCATGTATAATATTTATTGATGAGATAGATGCTATAGGTGGAAGCCGTAATCCAAAGGACCAACAATACATGAAGATGACTTTGAACCAGTTGCTAGTAGAGCTAGACGGCTTTAAACAAAATGAAGGAATTATCGTGATTGCTGCAACTAATTTCCCAGAATCATTAGACAAGGCGCTTGTAAGACCTGGACGATTTGATCGCCACATTGTTGTTCCAAATCCAGATGTAGAAGGACGAAGGCAGATTATGGAATCACACATGTCAAAGGTATTTTTTGTTCCTGGGAAAAAAGACTCTGGGTGTATTGGTAATCTGAGGCTAAGTTGACAATCACCAGCTGTGTTGATCCTGGACAGTGCTTTGGTTTGGGAATGTCTACCTGGTGGTCCTGGCTGAAGTATTTGTCGTATTAGTGATGGGCTATATCCAATTGATGCTAGTGTCATAAACTTTTACCAGCTGACATACAATTAAACCATTGCTGAATCATAGCCATGAAATTCATATAATAGTTCTGCTTTTTGTGAGGATATTTTGCCTATGCTTATATCACACTTTTATTGTAACCCTGCCGACTTTGCCATGGGTTTGGATGGGTGTGGGTCTTACAGACCAGAATATTAGCCTTCATGGGATAGTTCTTCATTGGATGTACTAAATATTTCAACTCATGCTACTGCCATTATTAGTTTTGAGCGATTTTCTCTACCTATATGCTCAAATACCTAATTTTTTTTTTTTTTTAAATTACAGGTCTTGAAGGCTGATGATGTTGATTTGATGATCATTGCTAGAGGGACTCCTGGGTTCTCTGGTGCTGATCTTGCAAACCTTGTCAATATTGCTGCACTGAAGGCTGCAATGGATGGAGCCAAAGCTGTGACTATGGCTGATCTGGAGTATGCAAAGGACAAGATCATGATGGGAAGTGAACGTAAGTCAGCTGTCATCTCTGATGAATCACGGACACTGACAGCTTTCCATGAGGGTGGTCATGCTCTTGTGGCCATCCATACTGATGGGGCGCTTCCAGTTCACAAAGCAACAATAGTTCCCCGAGGAATGTCCCTTGGCATGGTTTCCCAATTGCCTGATAAGGATGAAACAAGCATTTCCCGCAAGCAGATGCTTGCTCGACTTGATGTTTGCATGGGGGGAAGGGTTGCAGAAGAGCTCATCTTTGGAGAAAATGAAGTTACTTCTGGTGCATCTTCTGATCTAAAGCAAGCAACTAGCCTTGCAAGAGCAATGGTTACAAAATATGGCATGAGTAAAGAAGTTGGTGTTGTCACTCACAATTATGATGACAATGGTAAGAGCATGAGCACAGAGACTAGGCTCCTTATTGAGAAAGAAGTGAAGTACTTTCTGGAAAGGGCTTATAACAATGCAAAAACTATTCTCACCACCCATAACAAGGAGCTCCATGCACTGGCTAATGCCTTGCTCGAGCAGGAGACACTTACTGGAAATCAGATCAAAAGTTTACTTGCCCAAGTCAATTCACAGCAGCAGCAGCAACCTCAGCAGATAGTTGCACAACAGAACAGTTCGCAATCCAACCCAGTGCAGCCTCCATCGACTCCTAATCCAGCTGCATCAGCCGCTGCAGCAGCAGCTGCGGCAGCTGCAGCTGCAACTGCTGCCGCTAAGTCCAAAGGCATTGCACCTGTGGGATCATAGTCTGAGAGAGGCTGGTAAGGCTGCGGCTATTTATTGAATTGAATGTGCATAATTTAGTTACTGGCCTTTTTGTTCGAGAACTGTAGTTCCATTTCTGGTAGACTATTTCATGTATAACCATGTGTTCGAAAATTTAACAGAAGCTATAGAAGAAGTTAATGGCAGTAGAGCATTACCTTGGCAAGTTATTTTTAAGTTCGTTGGGATGTGTATGCTGTCTCCTCCTTTTTACGTATTCTTCTCAACTGGTCTTTGCTTATACGGTTCAGAATAATGTTCAATTTAAAATTTGGTTCCTTTCTGATTAGTATTTATTTTTATTTTATTAATATTTTTGCTTGTTTTGTGGAGGAAGAGATTTTTCTGTTTATGTTCGATGAGGATTCGGTGGAAAGAAATTCAAAGATGCTACCACACCGGTTCTGTGATTTTGTATGTTAGACAGGCATGAGATAATTCCTTGTACAGGACAACCATCTCACTGAATATTTTCACTATTCTTCTTCTTCTACTAATTTGTTCATGTGATGCCTTTTCAGTTGTCATTAGTTTTTCATACAGAAATCATTTATTATTATTTAAGAAAAATGAATAAAATTGTAACTTTGCTCAAGTTTCCACATTTTTAAGGTGATACCTCCATTAAACATTTAAAAAAAAAACCTATATGACTACCATTTTTTTTTTTCACTATGAAATTTTGAAATCTTCATCATATATTCAAGTTACAAAGTTGAAATTTTATGATGTTAAGAAAAATAAGTGCATTGATAAATTAAAAAGGTTGATGGCAGAAATGACATGATAGTAATAGAGGTGGAATAAATGGGTCGGGTTAGGTGGGTCAACCCTAACCTGGCCCATCTCAACTCGGGTATACCCTGTTGGGCGGGTTGGGCCTTCATAGGCCAACCTGGCGACTCGATGGTTTATTATTATTATTTTTTTCAAAACCCATCCAATCCGTCGGGTTGAGGGTTTTTAACCCACCAAGTTTACCCGTGGATTGGACAAAAAAATAATAATGAAAACTCATTTTACCCTTGAAAAATAGAAGTTAAAGGAGTCTTTTTGGTTATTTTCATTTCCCATTTTTTTTATAAATACAGTATAAACTCTCATATTTTATTAACATAAATGCAGTAGATTCAAACAATCTTGTTTTCCCATTCTCAGAATTCGATACACCTCATAATATTCCCTCCCTTCCTAAATCCCATCAATGGCCACCCCTATGCACCTCAACTTATCCACCTAAATCTCATCAATAATCACCTCTATCAGTAACTCACCTCTATCAGCAACTCAGGTAGATCGAACTCAAGATCTCTAAGAAATATACTCAAGAGTCTTAGTTGACCGCTGAGCCATCTCAATTTCATTTTCATTATTTTGCTACCTTCTTTTTTCTTTCAATAGCCAGTTTTCGCAATTGAATTTTTTTTTTGTTTTTAATTTCAATTTTCCATTTTTCTACCTTCTTTTTTCTTTCAATATCAATCATGTTTCCAGTCATTATTGGCTAATATCCATTTTTTGCAAGTGAAGTTGAGAAATTTCATTAATGGAGGCGAAAACGGTAGAAAGAATATGATGATGGTAACTGAGAGAAATTAGGATTGTGTTTTAACTTTATAATAATAATAATAATAATAATTAAGTTTTAATGAGATTGACATGTCTTAGTCTTAATCACCCCTAGACGGTCGAGTGGTTAAATAAAGATTTTTAAATGTATTATTCAAGAAATTTTGAGTTCGAGTTACTTTGGTTCATAATAAGAATCTAATTTTCGGCAATTCAAAAGTAGGAGAGGTTTTTTTTACTAATGAATCGATTTTCAAAATCTGTTCATTCTGAGTTGTTTTCTCTATCAAAGCATCGAATTTCTTAATTCTCATAAGCCCCCCCTGGAATTCCTTCCAAACTTATTGAATAATTTTTATGGATTCCCGCATTTCGCCCATTCGGACTAAATAACGGGCTAATGAATCCCATTTTTTTCGCCGCTATACCTCCCTATCAAATCCGTCGTAACACTCATAATAATCAATTTTACGAAGATCCCATTCGAGTCCAGACGCTCGTAGCACTGGTCCAAAGCCCTGTGGGATTAGTTAGGTACCAATTCAACAAGATTTAATTAATTATCAACTTTTTATTAATGATTAATTATGAATTAATGACAAATTTTGAATTAAAGATTAATTGGAGATCTATTCTTGATAACTATTATCATGAATTATGATAATGAAAATTCAAGGGCAATTTGGTCATTAATGGAAGCTAATGATGGATGCGTGAAATGTCTCAAACTTAGGATAGGAATTTTAGTTTCGCCATACTTAGGGTGGGAACATGACCTTTAACACTCTTCTCTCATTTTATTTTATTTTTTTCTGTGACATGGGTGTCTAGGATAGTTTGTGCGCATCTCAACTAATCCGTAGGGCTGAATTTAACAGCCAGATAAACCTCAAGTAGCTACTCCCATTAACAAACGAGATAAGTCGAACTTAAAACCTCTTAGATAATTTCTAAAGAATTCATATTCAACCACTCGATCATCCAAGACCCAAGGGTGGTTCTCTCTTCTCTCATTTTCTTTCTCCTAGTCACATAAACATTATTTTGATTAACAAATTAAAAATTAAATTTCTTTTAACACTCTTCTCTCGTTTTCATTCTCCCAGTTAGAGGTGGAACAAATGGTCTAGGTTAGACGGTTCAACCCTAACCTGGCCTAAGTATACCTTGCCGGGCGGGTTGGGCCTTCATGGGTCCAACCCACCGTCGGGTTGACCCGTGGGTTGGACAAAAAAAAATTAAATTAAATAATTTTTTTTTGCAAAAACTCATTTTACCCTTGAAATATAACCGTTTTATAACAGTTAGAGGGCTTTTTCTGATCATTTTCTTTTCCCATTTTTTTTTTCTACAAATAAGGCCTAAACTCTCATATTTCCTCACATATCAATTCCTAAATTCTCTCATTATCTTATTTTCTCTATTGAAATCTTTCAATCTCTTTGTTGTCAATTTCCTCTCAATTTGCTCTCATTTTAATTTTTATTAGTTTTTACAATTTTCAAATTCCAATTCTTATTCTTTAATTCTTTATTTCTTTTATATCCAATTTTTTTTTTTTTTTTTTTTTTGTTTTAACTAGAATGGATAGATATTTACATCCCATCAATTTCTATGATGAGAAAAATTATCCTAGTCCCCCTGAATTTACTAACGTAAATACAGTAGATTTAAACAGTCCTGCTTTCCCATTCTCAGAATCCGATACACCTCATAATATTTTCCTCCCTCCTCCCCATGTTGCTATAGCTCTCAGTGGTTCTAGAAGTTTTCCTCATAATTGTCGTCCTCGTCCAACTCCATCTCAAGCAAAGGCGGGTTCATCAACTATAGTTGGAACCGACGACAGGCACACATCAGACGTTTTGATGCATTTCAAAAAGTTTTACGAGATAGAAAATGGAGTTCAAGTGAAGAAAGCAAGATGCAAGTATTGTAGAAATATTTATAAAGCTGATATAGGTAATGGTACTAGTACTTTAAAAAAGCATGTTAGCAAACATATGAATCAACATGGAAATAGAGAAACCAATCAAACTCAAATAACTAATATGGGTATTACTCGGTGTTATAATTTTGATGTATATATAGAATAATTAGCTTTATATATTACTGCAACTGATCAATATATTAATGTGGCTGAAGATAAATATTTTGAAAGATTTATTAAAAATTCATTTTTTCTAGGATTTAAAAGTTATTATAAAACTGCAACTAGAAATGATTTAATTAAATTGTTTGGGAAAATGAAATTAGAATTAAGAAATAAAATACATAGTGTGGCTCTAACAGTCGATATTTGGAGTGGTAGAGCTAAATAAGATTATATTTGTGTGATTATTCATTATTTTGATAACGAATGTAAATTAAATAAATCATTATTGAGATTTAGATTAATGAAGTGGATCATAGTGGTCAACAAATTTATAATAAAATTGTTGAAGTTTTAGAAGATTATGATATTGTTCACAAAGTGATAAGTTTAACTTTAGATAATGTAAGTGTTAACAGTAGAGCTATAAATTTTTTTTAAAGTAATTTTCCTTTTTATGACAATTTGAAGTTTTTTCACCAACGTTGTGGATGCCACATTATTAATTTAATTATGAAAAGTGGTATGAAAAAAAATTAGAAATAATATTGATAGAATTAGGGATTTTTTAGCTTGGATTACTATAAGTAATAGAAGAAATGCAGAATTTCAATATGCTTGTATAAAATCAAATATGTCTCCTAGAACTTTTGCATTAGACATGCCTATTAGATGAAATAATACTTATTTAATGCTTGATTCATGTTTACCTTATGCAAATTGAATTAGTTATTTTGTAGCAAATAATAGGGATCCTCATTATTTGGTAGACAGTGATTAGCATAGAGTTCAAAATTTTCATTCTTTTCTTAAATTTTTTTATCAATCCACTTTAAAACTTTTTGGTGTGTATTATCATACTAGTCCATTGGTATTTGGTAATACATACAATTATAAAAATTTCAGATTTATTTAAAAAAAAAAACAGAAACAATGAAATTTTAGCGGGACCAATAGAGACAATGAAATTAAAATTTTAAAAATATTGGAAACTCATTCATTTTTTTTTTTTTTTTTTTGTTTAACTGTCATATTTGATTCTAGAATTAAATTAGCGCGTTTAGAAAATGGTATAGACACGTTAAGTGAAAACTTACAAAATGAAGCATATGCCTCAACTAGGAGAGATAAGACAGTGTCTTGCAGATATATATTTGTAATATGAAAACATGTATGGGAACCAGCGAAAAGGCGAAATACCTGAGGAAGTAGCATTAGAAGACACAAATGAAGATTTCGACTCAGAGAGTGCACTTAATAGGCCAAAGAGGACCCGAACCCGCAGCATAGCCTCCTCTTTAGAAACATCAACAACGAATATACTGTCTTCCATGTAGCTACAAAGTAATGAGTTTCACCAATATTTGGGAACCCTCGACGTCTACCAACAGATCCACAACAAAGAACCAACTTTGATGTCTTAAAATATTAGAAAACCAGAAAATGTATTTTTTCGGTATTATCAAGACTTGCCCTGGATGTTTTCTCTGTTCCTGTCTCAACCATCTCATCCGAACAAACATTTAGTTCAAGTGGAAGAATTTTAAATGACAGGAGGACTAAACTTTCACCAAAATTGATTGAAGTACTCATATGTCTTCGAGATTGGGAACGGTCGGGCCATCGGGATCAATACGAGGTTGTCGACGATACTTTAATAGAATCATTTTAATTTTGTAATTTAGATGATACAGATGAGGGAGGTCTCAGTCAACTCTCAAATGAGTTGTTTTGTAAATTGTAACTTTGTAATTTGTAAATTAACTGTCAATTATGCACTCTTTTTTCCTTACCAAGTTTTTCTCCCAATTGGGTTTTTCTTGGTAAGGTTTTTAACGAGGCAATAATTATTGTAATTTCTTATTTTATTTTTTGATAAATGAATAAATCTAATTTTTCTTATGTTACAATTCAATTATATTAAAATTGAATTAATATTTGAAATTTTAACAAAAAAATTTAATTTAATTGAATTATTGATATTTGAAACGTTAGCTAAAAAAATTACACAAAAGAAAAAAAATTTAAAAAAAAAATCAGGTCAACCCAGCCTGGCCAGCACAAAAACCCATCGGGTTAGGGTTGGCGGGCCGGACTGGGCCAACCCTTCTGGCCAAAGAGGCGGGCCTAACTCGGCCCGCAATTTGGCTTAACCGCCATGGGTCGGGCCGGGCGAGTTAATTTTCCACCTTTAGATAGTATGATGTAAAATTAGGATATCATTTGTGAAGATGATTCTTTTAATATAATACCATAACTTTTAAGTAGAAAGAGTATTCTCATATCCTTTTTTATAGGCCGAATGACATCTTCCCACCTAACTTTGCCCTAAGACAATTTCCTATGCAAAAAGTTTAAAAATACAAATACCTACTAACTGTTAAGATCTGTCAGACAGTTTCCCATCTACTGTTAAGATAGTAAAATCCTTTTAAAGAAGGATAAGATGGTAATTTTCCATATAGTAGAAAAATGCTATTACCCTTTGACTGTATTTGAATTTACCATCCTACCCTTTTTTAGTTCAAGTTAAGGGACAAAATTAACAGTTGATGGGTAATTGTTGTATTACTGAGAATTTTATATTAATGGGAAAAATTGTTGTATTACTGAGAATTTTATATTAATGAAAAAAATAAATTACCTTGAAAATTACTGCAGATGTTATATTAAATGTGTTTGATTAGATTGATATAAATTGGTGAGTATGTTATATAGATTACTGAATTGCCCTTCTTTTTTAATATTATGATTATTATTTGGATTATTTATTTTAAACCCTACATTTGAGATTTTGTTAAAACACCACAGCTACAATAAAAGTTAAAATTTTAACAAAAACACCCCCACCCACCCAAGCCATTGCCGACTGTTGGCCACCACCATTAGCCGCCACTATTAGTCATCGTAACAAGGCACAATTGGCTGGAGCTGGTCGACCGTGCATCTATTTGGTTGTTTTCGGCCAGATCAATGGCTAAAAACGACCAAATGGTAGTAGATCTTAACGGCCATGGATCTGTCCAGAAACGACTAGATCCATGGAGCTGATCGATCTGGCCAGAAACGACCAGATCCACAACCATTTGGTCATTCCGATCAAATCGGTGCACTACCGGCCGGTTGTGCACTGTAACGGCGACTATTGGCGACGATTGGCAGTGCCTTGAATAGGTGGGGGTTTTTTTGTTAAAAACTTAAAATTTAAAATTTTTATTAATGAGGGTGTTCTTGTAAATTGGTTAAATAACAAGGGCATTATTGTCTTAAAATTTTATTAATAAGGGATAAAATTGTAACAAAAATAAGATTACTAAGTAATCTCAAAATACCTAAGAAAATGGTGATATTCAAGTTACCAGCTATATAACCCATAGTGATTACTATTGATATTGGAGGATTACCAAGATCTTATTTTACTTAATAATCAAATATAATAATGTAATATAAGATGAAATTGCTCCAATAATGGGAGATAACTCCCAACCAATCAAACCCCCCCAAAAAAAAATGTAATATCATATCATAACACTAATAATATGTTTTTTTAATGTTAAATTCAAAAAAGGGAGTTTCTGTGTTTTTGGCCTTACTGTAATATCTTATCATAACACTAATAAATAATATGTTTTTTCAATGTTAAATTCAAAAAAGGGGGATATTGTTTTTGGGCCTTATTAACTGAACTTAACTAAACAACGGAGGCTAGATGAGGAGGGGGGTTGAGTCGGACTTCTATTTGCTAGTTTGTTCTACGAAGTTTCTCCTTAAGCAAGTGTCAGGTGAGTTGGCGTTTCGACCATGACTCGGTCGACTCAGACTCATCAAGAAAAAGTTCAATTCTCAGGTGAGGCTTGCCAGTTGTAAATACATTGTGTTCCCTTTAACTTGACGATCATAATTTGATACAAGTAACGATATATTAATACCCTTTTGATATATATGAAAATTTAATCATCTGTAGTTTTAGTTTATCAGCTGAACAGCTCTAAATTAAGCTTTGTAGATGTCTGCTCTTTCGCTTTGTCACAGGGGTTCATCACCAGAGAGTTATAATACATAATAACGACGGTGAGAATCTTGTGGGTATCTTGCATGAAACGGGTTCAAAGGAGCTTGTTATTGTGTGCCACGGATTTCAATCCTCAAAGGTTGGTCATTTTTTTATTACCAGTGGGTGTCCATGTAGTACACAAATTTATCATATGCGCCTGTGAATATGATCTGAATTTTTAAAAATGCATACGTTCGCTTTAGAGAAGCAGTCTCTATATACATTTCGTGTACTTTGTGTTTGATTTTAACCCTTTGAAAGTCTGTTTATATCTTAATTTTCAATTTGCTTTTATAAATGATTCTTTAAAGGCCATTATGTAATTTTATCATCTTTTATTGAATCTGTGGCATGTCACTGTTTTTGTAGTATGCCCTTGTCATCTTCATTCATCTTTGTTCATGGTAAGCCAGTTCTTTTCAGTTCTAAACTTAGCCAAGATTATTTTTCTCTATAGGATCGTATCCCCATGGTGAGCATTGCAGCTGCCCTAGAGAGAAAAGGAATTAGTGCCTTCCGCTTTGACTTTGCGGGGAATGGGTAAGCTGATAGCACTAAAAGGAACCAGCTGTTTTAGGAACTTCAATTGGAATCCTAATGTATGGGTGTCTTCTTTTGAAGGACTTAAATTCAAGTTGAGAGGATCTATGTCAGTTTGTAAATTCAAATGATTTGTAATCTTCCAGCCACTAAATCATCCCTTTTCCCCATTTGCCTATGCCAGAATTCGTCTTCAGTCTCAAATAATTTGGAATAATGAAGAAATAACATTTCATATGAATTCTCTCTTATTTTTCTTATTGTAATTCCATTGTAATTTGTAAATATGCCCTAATTGTCTTATTCATTTTTTTGCTCTTTCATCGAATGATAAGCAGCTGTTTTCACTTGGCCTTCCAGGGAAAGTGAAGGGTCTTTTCAATATGGTAACTACCGCAGGGAAGCTGAGGATTTGCGTGCCGTAGTCCAACACTTTCGAAGGGAGGAACGTGCCATAACTGCAATTATTGGGCACAGCAAAGGTTTTCAATATACATCTCTGGCTCGATTCATAAATCAGATTAATAATTTGAAAAGACTGAGTGAATTATTTTAAGCCTGTCTAACATACAGGGAGATTTCAAGAAAAGACTTGAGTGAATTTTTTTAAGCCTGTCAAGCATATCGGAAGATTTTGAACACAACCTAGTTTAGTAATTTCACATTGCTGCAACTTTGTCTGACTACATATAAGGGCCAAAAATTGCAAAGCCATAGATTGATTGAAACTTTTTATTAACTGCATCATGCTTATGACCCGAATTTCTAGTTCTGGTGGGATATTTTTTGCTTTAAATTAATACCTAGTGTATGATCACAAAGATGTGTCTTTCTGTATAGACTAGCTTGTAGCCATCTCTTCTGCCTAGTATAATGGCTTTGGGCCATTATGAGTCGTCACACTGACTAGTCTGATTTATTTGTTATTTCTTCAAGTGTACCATATTGCTGAAAAAAGGTTACTGCAGGAGGAAATGTGGTGCTTTTATATGCTTCGAAGTATAACGACATATGTACAGTTGTCAATATTTCTGGCCGGTTTCATCTAGGGAGAGGCATGGAAGGTCGATTGGGTCAAGGATATTTACAAAGAATCAAGCAGAATGGATTCATTGATGTTAACAATAGAAGGGGTAAGCTATAACTGGTAAATATAGCACAAATTTGTCCTTAATGATAGTGTTTTTGTAATTTTGTCTTTTATTACTACAGGCCTGGTTCTTCCTTAATATTCTTTATTTTCCAATATTCTGGAAATTTCTTAATTAATTAAAATTTAACATCTTAAAAAGGATAAACAAGGGATTACATGTTTTTGGAAATTACAATGACCTTGTGTCACCAAGCAATTCTTAGGACTATCGTTACTGTGAATTGACCTGATAACCTTCTTTTTCTATTTGCAGGAAAGTTAAAGTATCGTGTGACTGAAGAAAGCTTAATGGACCGCCTAACCACTGATATTCTTGCAGCATGCCTGACAATTCACCAAGACTGCAGGTAAGAAAGTAATTCATCCTATAGTTACAATCTGTAATCTGTAATCATGTTATTGCGTGTCAATTGTGCATGCCCTGCTTGATTACATTGTTCATTTCACAATTTGTTCGAGAGTTCGAGAGATTTTAGGTAAAATCATTATTTTATCTTCTTTTTTCTTTTTTAACATATCTAGAGTAAGAAACTAGCTAGATATCCAAATGCTAGTTTCTTCTCAAGGGGCTTTTTCAAACTTTCCTGCTGAAGGTTTATTATCCACGTTAGAATTGCAAATTCTTATTCTGATTCTTCTGGGCATGCAAATCTGATATAGTTTTCGGTTAGATGTGAGTTGGAGTCAAATTCTTTTGTGAAAGTGTATACTGAATCTGGATTTTCTTCCGTATTCTCATTTTTATTAGTATTGGATCAGGATAGATATGTGTGTAATGCCATTCTCAATTTCAATAGTAATTGTTCAGCATCGATATGTTTGTGATGTCATCTTTGTTGAATTATATTTAGTCTTTCTTTCTGTTACAACTACTCATCCAGTATCCTATAGTGTTTGCATTTGAAATATTTATTCTTGTCATCTCATTAAGTTGTGTAAATTTTCTGAGTCAAGATCAAATTACTCCTATGTAAGAGTTGGCTATAATTACACCGGTTAATAACTTTTTATGTGATTCTTTAGTACCTGGAATTTCATGCTGAATATCACACCTATAAGATATTTATATTTTATTCCCTCCTTAAATGCATTTTCTTTTTTTCAAATATATTCATTTTGTGCACCCATCTTATGACATGGTTTTCCATCTCCTAATCAAACTTGAAATCTGTCGGGTGGGAAGAATATACTGATGATATAATCTGCTCTGATATTTCACGTTAACCAGTTTAAAAAAAAAAAACTACCATTTTGTTGATTATGATGCTGACTTAATACATATTGTATTGTTCCTGCTGTCATTTACAGGGTGTTGACAGTTCATGGATCCATGGATAGTATTGTACCTGTAGATGATGCTTTGGAGTTTGACAAGTTCATACCAAATCATAAACTACATATCATAAAAGGAGCTGATCATGAGTACACTTCTCATCAAGATGAGTTAGCTTCGGTTGTACTTGACTTTCTAAGGGTAAATAGTCGGGACAGCGACAAACCTAAAGAATTTTCATCTTGCGCGAAAGTTGTTAATATCATAAATTCAAAATATTGATAGTATGATAGTTCCCCTTCAGTGGCTGCAATTAATCTATCTATTCACTTGGGAAGTGGAGAAAATTGGGTTGAAAGCTATTAATCAAATAACCGGGATGTCAAATTCATCTATGCAATGGAAGTTGTTGACTGCTTGAATGGCAAAGCTTAATATTTTCAAGAACGTGGCTTGATGCTTCTCAATTGGAAACCCAATGAATATGCCATTCAAATGATCATAGGGATTGGAAATTGTACCATTACAATGTCATATGAAAGTTTCTAAGCTACTTTCTTAGAAAGAAGAAATTAGTCATGTTTTAGTTAAAGAGTTCACCTTTAATAATCAATTTGAATCTTCATTCTCATACTTAATAGTATTTTTCCTTCCCAACATCTTCTTTGTTGCCAAGGAAACTTGCATTATCAGTTTTTGTTTCTGTTTTTATCTGTTCTTCCAAAATCTATCAGTAAGAGAAAATGTGTATTATTTTTCTATGTTAAAAAAACTACAATCATAATTAGCATACGAGGCAAATCAGACACCAAACCGGCCTCCAGCTAAAATATGATATGAAAAAAAAAAAAATCAACTTATTACCTTATCTTGCTACGCACACTTCTGAGGAACTGAACGCATTTCAAGCTTTACATGTTATATGTGTCCTAGGCAAAGTTTTCAGTCAAATGACAATCAGAAACAAAATGCATTTTATCGTATAATTCATCTGAAAATAACAACCAACTTCAGATAAAATACTGTTCAACCGTTGGGTATGAAATATATCTATAAATTAATCTGTGTAGTATCATATAACAACATAAAAGTCCTATGCAGATTCCAGCCGTATATTCTGACAATGGAGATGTACGTTACTTGTACAGCTAAGTTGCCTTGTTTTGGGGCTGAACAGTACGTTTCTATGAATCCCTAGATTGCAGCTGACCAGTTACTGTTACAGACTACATATTTCAAAGACTGTAGCAATATCTGCCAAACAAAAAGAGATAAACAATAAGGTCACCACACTTTATTACTTCAAAACCTTCAATCCTCTTGACTTCATTAGGCTGCAACAGTCTTTGTCTTCGCCCCAATCTCTTTCCAAGAAACACTGGGCATTATCTGTTTTGAGTCAACACGGTCCTTGAACTGAATAGCAAAGTTGAGCAGTGAGTCAAGAAGAGAGTCTGAAAGAAGGTGTGGTTTGAGTCCCAACTCAATGAGTTTAGTGTGCTTTGCATTATAATAGTGCTCTTCTGCCTCTACCCTTGGGTTGGGCACAGATATGGTTTCCACATCAAGCCCAAGTTTCTCTCCTGCTTTTGTAACTAGGGCAGCAAGTTGATTGACAGAAAACTGCTCAGTGAACTGATTGAACACCCGAAATTCACCAGCTTTTGCTGGATTTGCAACGGCAAGTTCAACACACTGAACTGTATCTCTTATATCAAGGTAGCCCCTAGTCTGAAATTAAAATATAAGGGGTTAATAACAGAGAAAAGACAAGGTAGCCACAAACAGTTGTAATTAGCATCGCGAAGGAAAACTCAGGTACAGTTAAAAATAATAAGCAGAGAAATATGCAAGGTTTCCTCTCTTGCTTGGACGAAAAGTCTAGCAGATGACATGATATGGTGCAGTGATTCTATGGTATCACTGGATAAAGGATCATACCTGGCCCCCTTTTCCATACACAGTAAGTGGATGACCTACCGCAGCCTGAACACAAAACCGGTTCAATGCAGTCCCAAACACTGCATCATAATCTAGCCGATTGCAAAGCTCTTCATGCATCGCAGTCTCATCAGTTCTTACTCCATAAACAACTCCTTGATTAAGATCAGTGGCTCTGATTCCCCAGGCTTTGCAAGTGAAGGCTATATTATGTGAGTCATGAACCTTACTCAGATGGTAGAAAGAGCTTGCTTGCTTGGGATAAGGCAGAGTATCTGTTCTTCCATTATGAGTAATTGTTATATAACCCTCCTCAATGTCAATGTTTGGAGTACCATATTCTCCCATTGTCCCAAGCTTCACTAAATGACACTGCGCCCTGAATTCCTTAATGGCAAAGAGAACATTCAATGTTCCAATTACATTATTATTCTGAGTAAAGACAGCTCTTGACCTGTCAATCATTGAATAAGGGGCAGACCGCTGTTCCCCAAAATGGACAACAGAATCAGGTTCAAATGACTTGAAGGTTTCTGCTAAGAATTCAAAGTCACAAATGTCACCAATGTAGAGTTCAATAGTTTTCCCAGTAAGAGATTTCCAAACACGGAGCCGGTTGTGGATGGAGGTAATGGGAGTCAAGGAGTCAAGACCAAGTTGGTGGTCAAAGAGACGCCGGATGAGACTGTCAACAATAGCAACCTCATAACCTTTGTTGGAAAGGTGAAGGGCAGTGGCCCATCCGCAGTAGCCATCTCCACCAATAACCATGACCCGCTTTGGCTTGGCAGGATCATTGGAGGATTGATGCAAACCAGAGCGTGATTGGGTTGGGACTTCTTGTCTAATGGGGGTGGAGGTTGCGTAAACAGTGCAACTTCTTCGTGGTCCCTTTCCTGGCAGGACAACTCTATGGACTGGCGATTTGGAAATTTCCACAGTAAAAGAGGTAGGAAATGCAATTGGACCTTGGTTCAATGGTTGGAAGAAAGGTTTGCGCCAAGAAGGGATTTTCAAAGAGCATGAAGTTGAAAGCAATTGTGCCATATTACAGTCTAGTTCCAGTCAACAATTTGCACATAAACCTGCAAGTTATCAAAATGCTAAGCAAATTGAGTTTCAAGTTCTTGTAAACTATCACCAAAGAAATCAAATTTCACTTAAGGTATACAGTAAAAGCAGGTATAAAATGCATGCACAAGTGGATAGAACAAGTAGCGGTGGGCGAAAGAGATGGGAGAAAGAATAAATGTGAAATATTTCAGCAGAAATGTTTTTGCTCAGTAGATTCAAGAGCGAAAAACTCATCACAGGAGCGATTAGTAAGACCAGAAAACTGTAGATTACAATTAGTCTTCAAAAAGTAGTATTCTTTAAGATGCAGGACAATATGAAGTAATAGAGACAACAATTAAAGGACCATACCTCTCAAACAATGTCATGTAACACTTAATACTTGCTATTGACCGTCTTCTCACATTCATAAAACTCTTGACTTGTGTTAATAAAAATATCAATAACATAAATCTGTAAGAGGAAGCGATTGGAGAATAAACAACACCACCTAAAAGCGATGACAATGCTAATTTTGGATTTCCTCGGCTTGGGACATCAAAAAAAGCACCTAAACAGGATAGCTTAAGTTTAAATGACAAAACAACCATATAAATGGCACATACCCAGTGCATTCTTAAAATTGTTTATTCAACAAAACATTAAAATAAAATAGAGAAGCTAAAACAAGTAAAGGAAGGGTAGACAACATAAAGAAATAGTAAAACAGAGAGAATTGATTACCAAGACAAAAATGTATTGTAAGGTAGAATCCAGAATACAGTTTGTTGAAAATGGAGATGAATAGGACGAGTGAAGTGAAGGGGTTTTGGGTTTCTTGTTTAAAGGTAGAATCAAAAGAGAAAGAAGCAGGTATATTCGTTTTATCTGGGCATCTTTTGTCCACCACCGCAATATTGTCTTTAATTGGAACCGGACCATTGTAAAATGGATCAACCCAATCACCCACGACTTCTAACAAATTACATGGAACTGTGGTCTTGTGTAACCACCTGGTCCGATGTTAATAGGGATGGTTTAAGGCCTTAGGAGATTAGAGCATGAGATGTCTTTAACATTATAAGAATCAAGATTTCTATTAATATTTCCTCCTTTTCCTAAACTGAAGGCACAAAAGACCCAAATAACCAAAGCGTCAACCCTTGGCACAACCTTTCAGTTTTTCTTTCCAATACAAAAGTACAGAAACTTCAAGTTTTGAAAGGAAATAATGTTTATTATTTTCCCATCTTCATTGGCCAGCTTTAGATGTTTGTAATTAGTCCTTACAAGTTGACTAGAAAACAGAGATTGCTTCCCAGTTTTAATATGGTCGATTAAACCAAAGTATCGAGGCATTTTTTCCAAAGGTAGAGTTGATTTCATGATGTGATCATAAATATCACCGGTACAGATAAAACAAACATTTAATGAACCTTGATACAATCACTACACAACCCTTTACAAATCTGGTAAAAAGGGTAAGTAAAACTGGGTTTCAAAGTTACAGCCAAAACATGCCCATATGTAGTGTACCAAGTATGCTAAGAGAGGATTGAGAAAAACATCAGAAATATATTTGTATATGTAGTGTAGCAAGATACTATTGAATAAACTAATCAGATCAGAACAGTGAAGAGTTTTGACACTCCACTGATACAAAATTTTGTAAGCAAGTATCGGGTCTTCTTCAAAAACTATAGTAAGGTCATTCATCCAACTCAAAGAGAAGATTAGATGCTCCATTCGGCAGACTTCGGATTAGTTTATCAATTGGCTGTCATTTCAAAAAAAATGAACTGAGCTCCCTTAGGAAACTCTGACATCAAGCAGCCGCAACTTTTTTACCATCTTCAATGAAGTAAATAGCACTTTCAGGCACCTGAATTGGCACAGGAAAGATACAAAATTATCCCAGAGAAAGAGAAAAATTGATAGTGATTCAATAGCTTCTAGGCTAGAGAAGAATCGTTGTTAATAATGAGATGACATACTGTAAACAAACAAAATCAGCATCTACTTCAAATACAAAGCACAGTCAGAATAAAAAATCTGCTTCTAAACTCATTTAGTCGTTTTTACTAACTTAATTAAATTCTGACACAGCATTGTAGAATTTGAATATGTCAAATTTAATCATTATTTATAGTCAGGAAGGAGAATTTAACAAAAACCTATAGTCAGTTAAACAATTAAAATATTCTTTCACATCTGAATTAAAGATTAAGGGATGATTATATAAATACATATCACATCTCCTAACATAAATCATTTTTTGCCATTAGAAGGATAAAGAAAAGACCATTATCCTTTTGCAGCTTTGCTTACCCATTCATTAAAAGGATTCATTGACCCAAAAGGTGTGAAAGATTTACACGAAGCAAGAAAACTTTTTTAACTGTATAAGCAAGCACAATGTTTAGACTCTCAAGTGCCCCCCTAAATAGATGACACAGATCTCATTCTAGTGGCCACTAGGAATTGACCTGCCTCATCATCAAGTCATAGCTAAGATAGTTTTTAAGGCCTTTACTAAAAGACCTCAAGAGCAAATGATAAAACTTCATGCCAGCAAACCAAGAACTTAGGGTATAATGGTTTTATTTCTTTTGTCTTGTGCAAAATTAAGTTGGTTTTGGAGTGAGATATCCTTTGTGCTTAACGCTTAGATGTTCCTACCCCCATGTGTGACAGGATAAAAGGCAAAAAAGAGTTAAAGACATTAATATTTAAAAAAAAAAATGTTTAAAGAAATTACAGCTGGCCAGGTATCAGTAATGAATTCCACAATGTCGTATGATATGTCTCCTTGAACATCAATTTGCTCTTTCTCAGTTGGCCCCTAGAAGCAGCTGATCATCAGTACATTAAGAGAAAGCACAAATGCAAAAATGAAAAAGGCTGACTACAGATACTTATAATTTTTACAAACCTTAACAACTGACGCTCCTGTGGCAAACTTTTTCCCAAGCCTTTTAGAAGCATCACTAAGTTTAATACCTGATATAAAATATCTTCATCAGAAAATAATCTGAACTCCAAAAAATTAACTAATCAGTCAATGGAGCTCTTAACAGTAAGAGACCAACAAGGTAAAACCAGTATATGGCTTACCAAATAGGTCCAATCCCTTTACAATGGTGATACATTTCCGCTTGTTCCGTACAAGCTTTTCGATTACAACTTCTTGTTTGTCCTATTAAAAAAATGAAAAAGAATCGCGTTATTATCATGTTATTATCTTAGAGCTAAGCATCAATACCCTTAGATAGCAATGCCACAGATAAAATGCCAACAGTAAATAACTTTAATCAACAATGAAATAAAACTCTTCTGATGTCACAGAACATGTGGATAACTTCTACATTACTATAAGCCTTTTATGGTCACAAACATCAACGTTGTGAGATCAATATGCAGAATACTCTCATAATATGTTTCAATATTATTTATGTAAAACATCTCTCAAGTTTAGCAATACTCACATATGCAAAAGTAGAACTCTACCTGATCCACCTTACCACAGGCCACACCTACGCTCAATTCACACTCACAATATCATCAGATCACATTGGTTTCGGGGTATATATAAGTATTAGTCCCAATCCCAAATCCAACAAAGTTAGCATCCACTTGTGCTTTGACAAATTGACATTAGTTTCCATTAAATAGTATTAATACGATCAGAAGGTTCTTTGAGAAGAATACAACTTGAACGTAAAACATGGATTTTACTCTCAAATCAGTCAAATGTTTTGTCGTAAAAAACTTAGAAAACAGTACCAATATGTATATAATTTAAGCCAGATTACAGTAGAAAAACATGAAGTATGAGATTCTGTCCAGACAAAATTATAAACACACAACAATAGCCAACAACAATGCACTTGAAAACACATATAGAATACACTACCAAAGCCCGACTAATTGGAAATCCAACCACAATTTGACCTAACTCCATCTATTCATTAGAAACACTAGAACTAGACAGAAGCGGTAGCAAGATAGCAATATCTGCAGAAGCAAGATAAAAAATAATATAAAAATGAAAACTTACTTTGTTCTTTATTTTTCCACCTGGTAAACGTTTAACTTCTTCCTTAGACGATGACGTTTGCCCTGAAATTAGTCACTAATCAATAACCATAACTAACCATAAATAGAGCCATGTCACATTCTTCATTGCTGAAAAACAAAAACAAAACAAAACAAACCGACAAAGAAAAAAAAAAAGAGAGAGACAGATAGAGGGCTAACCTGAAGATAACCCAACTGATTGAAGCTGAGAGGAAACCTTATCAGCCTCCTTTTCATTTGTCTCTGCTAGCATAAAGCACATAATTAAAAAAAAAAAAAGTATATGGGATGGAAAATCACATGGGAAAGCTTTTGGTGCTACTGAAAGGTTTGTAGTTATTTACCTGTAAGAAGATGTGGGTATATTTGAGGAGCGTTTTTTATCAACCAAGGTTTGCACTTTTCAAAATCGGGACCGAATTCACAGTATTCCGCCGGAAGAGAACATACAGAGCAGTATAAAACTTGCACTGCTTCAGGTTTCTCCGCCATTCAAGCTTTTATCTTTCTAGTTTTCTGTGATCAACTAAACTTTTTGCTTCTATTTGACAGGGTTACGGAAATTGAATACCGAAAACTGTTTCCTGTGTTTTGCGTGATACTACCAGAGGGAATCCGGTTCTGTTCTTGGGAAAGTGATACAACTAGAGTGTTGCGTGATACAACTGAATGGGCCTTCCACGATCGAAATGTTGGGCTTTATTCTGTTATAGCCCAGATCTAGCTTAGGCCCATTATGGTGATTATAAAGCACAATATTTTAGAAAAAAAATTATTTTTATAAATTTAAAAATGTTTGTCAAAACCAATATAATTTATAAGAATATACATTTCAATTGATGTTTAAATGTTAAGAATATTTATTTAAATAAAAGCATATAAAATACAAAGAAAACATTTAGAATCTTTATATTATATGAAAAGCACTTTCAAAATTCAAATATAATTCATATCAGACACAGTTCTTTTTAAGGTCCTTTTAAAAAGGAAAAAAGATGCACCAATGAATCTTAAATTTGGTGGGGGCCATCCATCATATATAATGATAAAAAGGAACAATAAAGTTGATAAGTGATGAAAGAAAAGGCCATGTGAAATTAGATATTTTTGGTATTAACAGAATAAAATATAGCATATTCCAGGTGGCATATTCTGGCGCTATATGATGAGATTAGTTTATTCAAGCTGGCAATAAAGTTTTAAACAATACGATGAATTAGTGCTTCTACTTCCCATTAAGCGCAAACAGACCACGCTGCTTTTGGTCTCAGCAGAACTTCCATTCAACAAGCAATGGGGCAATAGCCAAATTGAAAGAGAAGATAAGTAAACTAACGATTTCATATCCTTTGGTTTGAAGAACTATCACCAGACAATGGACAAAGATTTCTACATCTATATTCCAGTCTTAGAGTAGACCAAAAAGCTAAATTTCCGCCAACGATGATCTCCTAATTCTCATCCTGTTTTATTTCCATTTATGCAATTAACAACACATCTTATGTTTTTATCTTGAACAAATCTGAAAAATATATATCTTTCGCAAGTTTTAATTAACAAAATAATATCTAGAAAAATATTAAAAAAAGAAGTCACAATTAGATAGAGACTCTTGGATATATTATTTGAGATTCTGAGTTTGAACCCTTCTTCAAATACTAATAAGGATAACCCTTCAAACTCTTACTCAATCGTTAGTTTTAAAATTTTAAAATATTAATTAAGATGTATGTAAATTAATATATATATATATATAATGTAAATTTGGGTGTTATTATTGGCATTTCTTACCCGTTTGGCTGAGGAAGATTCGTTTTTCGATTGCAAATGCTAAACTGTGTGGCCCTTATTAAAATTGCTTTGCTGTGTAATACCCCACCCCACACCCCACTCTCTTTACCTTATATCACGGCCCTGACCAACTAACCACGAATAAGATTACACTCAAAACACTTGCTCTTACTTATTCTCACCAAAGAGACAACGCTACTCTCATTCTCTCAGGCCATTGTTATTTCAATTTTCAAATACAAAGCTAGAGAGAGAGAGAGAGAGAGAGAGAGAGAGAGAGAGAGAGAGAGAGAGAAAAGGGTGCTCCGTTCTCAGATCTCTCTTTCTTTCACATTCTTGATTCAATGGCTGATTCAAGGAAGTACGTCTCTGAAGAAGACCTCAAGACTCACAACAAGCCTGGCGATCTCTGGATCTCAATACAAGGCAAGATCTATGATGTTTCTCAATGGAGCAAAGATCACCCTGGTGGTGCGCTTCCACTGCTCAGTCTTGCAGGTCAAGATGTTACTGACGCTTTTGTTGCTTACCATCCAGGCACTGCCTGGCAATATCTTGACAACTTCTTTACTGGTTATTATCTTAAGGATTACTCAGTCTCAGAGGCTTCCAAAGATTATAGAAAACTTGTGACTGAGTTTTCAAAAATGGGATTGTTTGAAAAGAATGGACATGTTGTGCTATATACACTTTGTTCTGTGGCAATGCTGTTTGTTGTCAGTGTTTATGGTGTTTTGTGCTCTGAAAGTACATGGGTGCATCTATGTTCTGGTGGGTTAATGGGATTTTTGTGGATTCAAAGTGGGTGGATTGGACATGATTCTGGTCATTACAAGATCACAAAAAGTCCGAGATTCAATCGTTTCGTGCAGGTTTTAACCGGGAATTGCCTTGCAGGGATTAGTATTGAGTGGTGGAAACGGAACCACAATGCCCATCACATTGCCTGTAATAGTCTCGACTTCGATCCAGATCTTCAGCACATGCCTTTTTTTGCGGTATCTTCAAAATTGTTCAACTCAATTTGGTCATGTTTTTATGATAGGAAGATGAATTTTGATTCTGCTACAAGATTCTTGATTAGTTACCAGCATTGGACATTTTATCCTGTCATGTGTTTGGCGAGAATCAATCTGTTTGCACAATCATTTTTATTGTTGTTTTCTAAGAGGAAGGTGCTCTATCGGCGTCAGGAATTTTTTGGGCTTCTTGTGTTTTGGATTTGGTATCCCCTGCTAGTTTCCTGCTTACCAAATTGGGGGGAGAGAATAATGTTTGTTGTTGCTAGTTTTTCTGTTACTGGAATTCAACATGTTCAGTTCTGTTTGAATCATTTCTCGTCCAGGGTATATGTTGGTCCACCTCGTGCAAATGATTGGTTCGGAAAGCAAACTAGCGGCACACTTAATATAAGTTGCCCGTCTTGGATGGACTGGTTTCATGGTGGATTACAGTTTCAGATTGAGCACCATTTGTTTCCTCGATTGCCTCGATGCCATCTTAGGAAAATTTCACCCTTTGTTATGGAGCTGTGCAAAAAGCATAATTTGCCATATGATATTGCCTCATTCTGGAAGGCCAATGCAATGACGATAGACACTCTTCGGGCTGCAGCCTTGCAGGCTCGCGACTTCTCCAATCCTGTTCCAAAGAATCTGGTGTGGGAAGCTGTTAACACGCATGGATGATTGGAAATCTAGTGAAGCTTTCAGTGGTTGCTGCTGCAGTTATTTGTACCATTTTGATGTGAAGTGGGTCTGATAACTTCATTTTGATTGATATCTGAGGGTGGTCATTCTTGGTGTCAGTGAAAGAATAAGATCATCATTGCTTGGAGGCTTCAATTATTATTTATTAGAGCTGCATTTCAATGGGATGAGCTCATGCTTTTCGTGGATTATATTTTCAAATGCTTTACACTGATTACCTGATGAGCTGATCTAGTGGGTTCTGCCTCCTGTTTGTGCTCAATAATACAGGTAAGGAATTAGTGTTTGGTTGTGATAGTTTAGTGTGTCATTATAAGGCATTGTATCTTTCTTCATATATTCACTTGAGCATGTTTGTTATTTCGTTGTTGTCAAAACCAATGGATGTAACATTTTATGTAATAGATAATTTCAGCTTTGCTGTTTACTTGTTTTTAAGAATGTTGTTGTTAAAGGGGAGGTGGAGGTGGTCAACTTATCATAGATTTTGACCATCTTCTGCATCTGTTTCTGTGTTTAGTCACTTAGCACATCTAATCATACAGTGAAGTTTCAATTTTCCTGTGGGGGTATTTGAGCTTTGAAATTAATAATGCAGGCGAATGTTGGGTTCCAGATTAGTTTTCCCATTTTGATGATGATTCAGTCACTGTATTTAAACATGGCACAATTGGATTGCCAAACAGAACAGATGGATGGCCCTTATAAATAAGAAATATCCAAAGAAAAAAAAAAACTTGAAGATTCTCAAAAAATTAAAAATTGAAACTTCTGGTGAAGGTGTTTATAAGAGTTAAGTTTCTAGATACAACTCAAAATCTAAATGTTAACCCTTCATAAAATTATATCTGAAAATTTACAAATGAAAAAGTTAGTTTCTTCTTCTTTGGAAACAAACAAGAATTCCTCACAGCACCATAAAATATGAGGGATCCTAAGGGAGATGGACACCAAACTTGTGCTTCATGTTGTCACAGAAGACGTCCCTGCCACCCAGATTGCCTGTTCGCTCTTTATTTCCCTGCTAATCAACGAAAGACGTATGAGAGGGTCATCAAACCGTATCCTTTCTCTAAACTAAAAGAAGCAATGTCGAAGACGATACCTGAAAGTGAAAGATCTGATTCTGTGAAGTCTTTCAAATTCGATGCTTATATGCGTGCACGCTATCCTGTCAATGGCTATCGTCGTATTGTAAATGAGCTTCAAAGACGTTGTAGTGATGCTGAAGTGGAGCTTAACTACGTAAAGCAGCAGATTCAAGATATGGGACTGGAATTGTAGGTCAAGACGGTATCATGCCAATGAATCAGCCTGCCAATGAGTATGTAATGGTGCTGGATTTTTTTGTCCCAGATTTTCAAGAATCAGCATCCGAATACGTATGATTATAATGCTGTGTCTTCCAAGAATTTCTCGAATTGATCACAACCATTGCCTTCATCCGTGCATGGTGATCTCGGTCAGGGCATCATTAGCGTCCAACCATGGAATCAGAATCAGCCACAACAATTCTCTAAATCTGGTGGGACCTGGCCTAGTAATGTAGGTCTAGCCGTCAAGGCACCGAACCATTTTGTTGGAATCATCCTCTTAATCTGGATGGGTATGGTGCCCCTGCTCCGTCTTCCCAAACTAAGTCACAATCAGAGACAACAGCTCTCTTTATCGGATGAGACGCTGCCATTATATTTGAATCAGAGTCCTAATGCGTACGGTGCTGCCGCTTTCGAAACTCCCCAAGAACAACTCTTTTTGTCGAATGAAAGTGCAACGCAGACATTTTGTTTTCATCAACATCCCAATGCATACAGTGCTAGATCTTTTCAAACTCCTCAGAATCAGACACAACACCTGTCTTCATCAGCTGGAGGTGAAGATATATATTAAACTATTTCTTGGGGATTTTCATCAAACAGAGGCGCGCCGCCCATATAGTTTCTACTCTACAACTATATTGATCCAATGATGTTAATTAGGGTTTCTGTAAATTGTTTTTCTTCATTTTCTAATATCTTTTATTTTTTTTCTCAGATACAAGAATGTACGCGATAGAATAAATTCAGCAGGAACACGATCATAACGATGCAGAGCTTCAGTCCAGATTGGTAAGGAATAATGCAGTTTCATCTTCAGTGACATCTTAAAACTATTAAAGAAAAATAGGGAAGATCATCAAATTGCAGTGAATTGATCAAATTTCTTATCAGAATTTGTTGAGTGGATATGCATGAAACTACTGGGTAGTCTGGGTTGAGCAGTTTTTCCACAACGTGCACCTATTCTAGTCTAATTAGTTCATCACTTGCTTCAATTTCTAAACTGATAATGAAAAAAAAAAAAAAAAATTCTTATCCTATTCTGTGTTTCCTTTCGATATTGTTGTTGCTAAGCTCAATTTAGCCATTGGAGGAATCTATGAGCGCATTTCAAACTTCGCCCTCAGCCTTATCATGTGGCCTTTGAATAGGGAGAGTCTCCCTCCCGCGCACTTCTTTTTTTTCAATCCCTGTTTCCAAATGGTCCATGGAATGGATGAAATACGTAATCTCCCAACAAATTACGCCAATCAGGCTTAATTAAGTTGTCATGTATGTTTGCCCCTGTTAATCTGTTCGGAGGAGAGTTGAGACAGTGCTTTGCAAGTAGAAAAGCCAAAACTCTGACAGCCACGTAAAAGATTTGAATGAAACATGAAAGTGTCAATTCATTGATTAGGATGCGCCCCAAAACAGAACAAATGTGTATACCTCAAGGCAAGAGCCATACCAGCAGCCAGCTCACTGATAACATCTCGGTGGAAAAATTGCCTCCTCTTGAGCACATATGTTGTGATGTAACAGAAGGGCAATTACCCTGCATCATCTGCATGCCCTCATTTGTCAATTCATCCACACGCATTAATGCTACATATGATCAAATATTATGTTTATAATTTTTAAAAGAAAAAATTCAGTTAACCAGTTTGAAGACCTTCTCAATGCATTTAATTCTGAATGCTATAATAATATATATAGAACTATATAATAGACATCCATAGTATTACATCTCTTGGATTCACTCACCCTGTCGATAAATTTATTGAAATCACTGCTGATGGGATAATCTACTCTATATGAGGGAGTAGTACCTCCCAAGCAATTGAGAGAGAGAGAGAGAGAGGAAGGAGAGTTGCGATAAATCTTTTATGCCTCTTTTATTATCATCAAGCAATATAAATAACCTTAAAAATGTAAAGTCTTAATAATCCAACTAATGCCCAAAATAAAGGAGAATAACATCAATCACCCAAAACTAATGACAATAACATAAAATAACTCTACTGCTCAACGCCCCATGCGATAATCCTTCGTCCATGCAGGAGCTTTGCCGAGCCCTTGCAGGATATCTTCCTGCATCTCCATCCTCCACAGCCACTCCTCCAGCTGGGTTCCTATCAACTGCCCTCAATTTCATTGCTATCTAGTGAAGTTAATTAACGACGGTTTCAGACAGAGAAGGGGAAGAATCCGAAGAAAGATTATTCATGAATGAATTCCCGCCATCAATTGAACCTTTTGTCCTAATATCTTCAATTATCCTATGCACCAAACTCATCTTGGGACGATTTCTTGGTAATGGAGCTAAGCAGAGCAGAGCAAGCTGCAAGAGAGCCCGCATTTCCTCCTCCATCTCTTTGTCTCTTATTAACTCGAAATCAAACACCTCCCATGAATCCTCTTCTGCAGCCGCCCTTTGCGCCCACAACACTATACTCGATTCTCCATCTCCCGTCGCCATTTTCCCAGTCAACATCTCCAACAATACCACCCCAAAGCTATAAACATCACATTTCTGCGTATATTTTCTTTGGCTCCAGTTGCTGCTGTTGTTAGGCTTCACCTCTGGGGCTTTATAGGCATTGTTTATTAAAAGGGGTGAAGGCAAAAGTTGGTGGACACTAATGTCAGAAATACATGCATTGCCCAGCCGATCAACGACAATATTAGATGATGAGAGATGCCCATGAAAAAGCTTGATTTTGTCGTAACCATGAAGAAAAGCTAGGCCTTTTGCAGAATCAGAAGCTAGTTTTAACCTTGTAGTCCAATCTAATGGAGTCCTTCCCGGTCCTCTATCTCCTATCATCAATATACATGTGAAAATTAATTTATCAGTATAAACGTGCAAGCATTTATAATAAAGTTAATTAATATAAAATGTATAAAAAAATCTTAAAAATGAATGAGGTCCAGCGGATACCATGCAAGAGAGACTGCAGGCTTCCGTTTGGTAGAAAATCATAGACCAGAAGTAATTCTTCCTTGGCGTTAAAATATGCTCTGAGGTTCACAATATTACAGTGTCTCAACCCACCAATCACACTAAGCCACTCATCAACCTCCTTCTTCTTCTTCCTTTCTCTCATCCTCTTGACAACCACCACATCACCACCCTCCATCACAACCTTATAAGTGGTCCCCACACACCCTTTTCCTAACAATTCGGCTGATGCTTTTAACAAATCGCCAACCTTCGTAAAACCCTTATGACACCCCTCAAACACCACCATTTCATCTTCTTCTTCACCACCGTATTTGCCGTTACGGTTGTGGTGGGTCCCATGCTTCATCTGCATTTCGTTGTGGGGTCCACCACCCCAACGGTTTCTTTTTCTCTTGTAACAACACCACGTGATTGTCACGACGGCAGCTACGATCGCCACCACGTCGAATAGAACGATTACCAACACTATTATAGCTCTCAATCTCCTTGAGCTTGATCGTAGTGGCACAGACTCTGCCGGCCGATTTGAGCAATTCGATGCCAAAGGCCGACCGCAGAGATTTTCGTTCCCGCCGAATGAACTCATCGGAAAACTTGACATCCACGACGGAATCTCACCGGACAGTTTGTTCTTTGAAACATTAAAATCCAAAAGCGATAGAGAACTTGAGTTAGCTGAGTCGAGAGTTCCGGTGAAGGAATTTTCCTCGAGCCGCAGAGTCAACAAAGTCGGCAAGCGAGTCAACTCGCTCATCGGGATTTCACCGGTGAAAAGATTGTACGACAAATCAAGTCTATGGAGGCGGCGGATATTGGATACTCCGGAAGGGAATATGCCGCGGAATTGGTTGTGAGAGAGGTAGATGTTCTTTATATGAGGCCATGAAGAAAGGTTCAAGTTTGAGGAACAAAAGGAATTATTCTTGAGGCTGAGGAGTCTGAGATGAGTGAGTTGGTTGAGTGGCTGAACCGAACCAGTGAGGTTTAAATTCTCCAGAACAAGTTTAGTGACTCGGTTAGTGGCGGGGTTGCAGGTGACACCGAACCATGAGTCAGAACAGGGTTGAGTTGAATTGAGCCAGGAAGAAAGAGAGCTGTTAGGGTCAGATAAGGAGGCTTTGAAGGATAGTAAAGCATTAAAATCAGAGTTGGATAGTGAAAGAGAACAGAAGCAGAAAAAGAAGATGAAGAAGTAAAGAGATGAAATGAAATGATGGGATGCGAGCATTTCTTTCTTCCTCTTTATTTTCTCAGGAAAGAAGAAGAAAATGAGGAAAGGCAATACTAAGTTTAAGTGGTGAGTAGCCGTTGGGTAATTGATACTGAAGTCTGAAGGGAAGGCCGTTAGGTACACGTGGCAATTAATTATGTAATATGTGTAACGTGTTTTGGGAGCGTTGGTGTACGCGCTAATGAATCATGTTACTTGTTAAGCACGAGATGTCAGTGGTGGTTATTTTTCTTTGCTGTACATGAAAACGATTAATAAAGTGTTTAATGTTACGAAAACCGGACCGGACCATCGTCAACCAACATTCTTTTTGGTTCAAGTTCTCAATTTTATTATTCATCTAAATCATTAATCTTATCATCGGCAAATGAGGGACTATTAAGTTCTTGAGTTAGAAGAGTTTTGTAAAGTGGTAGAGATAGGTGGTTCGAGGGATGGTGTTGGATTGAATTTTAGATGCTAGAATCAGTCGAAATTTGACCGAAAAAATCAACCTAATATGCGAGTCATGGCCGACGAACGGAGGGTTATCAACCATCGAGGTTAGATGGGTTTTATAGAATGAAGGCCAATTGTTCAGGTGGTGGTGTTGGATTGAATTTTTGACGCCAGAATCAGCCGAAATTTGGTTAAAAAATCAACACAATCACAACGATGTTCGCGAGTCACAACCAGCGAATGAGGGGTTATTAAGTTCCTAGGTTAGAGAGATTTTGTAGAGTGGATGACGATGGTTCAGGTGATAGTGTTGAATTAAATTTTGGCTATCGAAATCAGCCAGAATTTGATCGAAAAAGTCAAAACTCAAACAGATCGCAAATGTGTATTTGCTAAATTTCAAAGATGCAAGGATTGAAATATTTTTCAAAGATGTTTTTACGAGATTTCAAATTTTTTAGACCATCAATTTAATCGGTCAAATTGGTTAAACCGTGAATCGGGCCTAAATAGTGGAAGGTTTTAGTTTGTTTAGGCAGTAAGCAAAGCATGGAGACGGAGGATGGGCGGGGTATGAGGACAAAAGAAGAAGAAGAAGACTAGGTTGATGGGGACGTTAATGGTGAAGGGGTCCATAGATTTTGATGAATGTCGTAACACTGTTAGCTAATGAACAACTAAGAGTAAGAGGGTTCCAGTAAGAATTGAAGGAGACAACCTGTCAAAGTGATAGTAACATTATCCAATTCCGATACTGCAAGCTAAGCATTTCCTAAGTTTTTGACTTCCGATTCTCTAACGATTTACCAAACCACACATGGACCTTCAATTTTACACTGCATTTGCATCAAATATCAACACTTCTTCAACAACTTTACCGGTAGATTTAGAGACAGAGACATTTCCAATATTATATAAAATTTCAATGAAATAATTTTTTTAACACTTGAGATTTGAGAATATGAAATATGAAAGTAGAGCCTTTCTTAATTAACAAGGAACAGGTGTTGAATGATTATGTATAGACAAAATACGGATGGAATGGTGTGGAAGCCAGCCCAGCTTGACTTCCGACCTAAGTTTAGAAATTAGTAACAAATAACACTTGATAAGTGGATTCTTTTCAAGCATATACTACGCATAAATATGATTTAAATTTCATTTAATTTAATGTTGGTGTTGGTACAAAATTTTGCACCAACCAGTGAGATCCGATCAACCTTGCCAGGATCGGAATTGATGTGTGTATGATTAATGATAATCAGCGATGAATATGAATGAAATGAATTAAAAATAAATAGATTTTTAAAGTGGTTTAACAAGTTAGAATTTGAGCCTACTTCCACTGTTATTTTATTATTTTTGAGCGCTAACAAAGAACAGTATAATTCATATTAAAATTTGCTTAAAACAATTGTCCAGCCTCCCAGAAAACAAATTATGATGGGTTTATATAACATTCATTTACATGATAGAGTTTACCTTAGTTGGAATCTAAATCAATCTAAATATCTTCCTTCCAAATTGAGCAAATCTAAATATATTTTCTCCTAATAGAGAATTATCCTCTCCGGATTGACGCACAACAGTTGGATAATATTTTATATATATTAACCAAGGTCTATTTAAACTTGTGGATTTTCTTATACATTGTGGGTGCAGTTAGAAAAGTGGGTAGAGCGCTTCGGCAATTGGCAACCCATTTGTAGTGATGAAATGACCAATAATTGTATAGGGATCAGATCACCCACTCAAATGGTAAAGTCAGCCATTTCTCAAAAATATATCGGTTGAGAGAGTTATGGTAGATTTATTACAGAAATAAATAATGAAGAGGAAATAACAATTTATTAGGTGAGTGAAGGTGAAGCACATGAAATTGAGAAAGAAAAGGTTATATGAAGTCCAACGAAAGAAAAGAATGCGGCCCATGGGCCACAATCATGAGGTGATGAGATTTTTTACTTGAAAGCAAAGCCTCACCGAAATACCCAGAACCGTCATTCATCAAGTATTTGACATGTGTAACAAAATTATCAAATAAAATTACATCAAAGTAATGATGAGATTAAGCATTTGCATTTAATTAATAAATGAAGGAGTGGAAGTCGGTGTAAAGACTCTGACAAAATTCCAACTGCCCCTGTCTAAGCAGACCAAGAAGACACGGAAACCACGTGCACCCGAATTTAACTCCACTTCCTTTCACATCAGATCCCATCCATCCACTTTCATTTATAGTAAACCACATGTTCCCACCCAAAGGTATAGCGAAATGACAAATTCCCACCCCGATTTCATAAATTCTAGATTAGCACCCTACGTAACAACGTTAGTGATAATTGGATTTTGATATAAATGTAAAAAGTGTTATTACCAAACTGCCCTTGAACCATCTCATTCCAAACCACCACCACAGCCGGGCCACCTACAAAGCAATACCCACAAGCCCCCATCACCTCTCCAAAACAACACCCATTGTGAAGTAAGTCAACCCAACACAACACAAGCAAATAAACCTAAATCCACACCATCAACACATGCAAACAGCAGGCACACAAACAACAATCAATAAGCATGCTGTCAAGGCCTATATTATCGTGAACAAGAACCCTCAAAGTTCTACGATTGGTTGCATCAGCTCCTTCAAGGGAAACCTAAACCCTCGACAATACATAAGTCTTCACCCTTTTTATCATTTGAGCCACTTCCCAGCCTAATTGTCCAAGATCTAGTTGGATTAGGGCCTTTTTCCAAGACGTGACTATCGACCCAAGCCAAATCGACATATTTTCAGTGTCATTGACCTTCCCTAACACCACCAACATACTCCACGCAACCCCCTCACCAAAACCCCTACCACCTCACACCTATTTGCGTCACCTTTCGCCAGTCACCACCCTTGGTTTGATTTGCACACCTCAAGCCTTTTTGATTGATCTTGTCATCGAAAATCACCCCTCACACCACTAATCGCATCATCGACACCTCCTCTCCAAAACCCCAAACAACCTCAACCCTGTTTGCCCTCCAATCGCCGCCCCACTTCTTAAGGTTTCGCTTTAATGATGAATTGAATTTGATTTGATTGATGTTTGTGTTTAAGGTTGTTTTATTGTTGATTTCGAGCCTTGTGGTTGTTTCATTATTGGGGGTGGAGGATTTTGTGCAATTCAATCGAAATCGCACTTGGCCACGTGTGATTCAAGCCAAATCACACTTTGCCAGGTGTTATTCTAGTCGAACCGCATCTAGCCAACGATCTCCGGTTCCTCCTTGCCATTATTGTATAATTTTGATATTTTAATTTCAAATTATAGTCAATAACGATTATAGTCTTTAATTGTTAAAAGAAACGAAACAGTATTATTTTAAAGGTGAAAATCTATAATTTATGAAAATAAGAGGGGAAATCTATAATTTATGAAACGTGGGAACTTGCCATTTCGCTAAACCGTGGGTGGAAACATGTCATTTACTCTTTCACTTAATTAGGTAGATGATGGGAATAGATTTATGATTAAGGAGAGTAAGATGCACGCAAAAGAAGACAAAACTTTATTAATTGAAATGGACCTACCTTCACATTAACCCAGTGAGAAGAGGATTTGCTTTCATATTGATTTCATAACATTGCTTTGCCTACCTGTCCCATGTTACTTCTGTTTTCTAATTCTCTCAGATCCAATACTCTTCCCCTTTCATATTAATTTTTATCTCACACCCACTCCAAATTCCCATTAATTATCCCAACTTAATTCTCGAGGGTCCTTTTTTACCTTTTTTTTTTTTCAATTCTAAACATAAACATAAACAGAAAGTGAAAGAAAGCACTGGATATGATTCAGGTACTTGACTACTATTACAACAAAAATTATCAACAATCAACAAACCCTACCACTCATAATCATAACTTCCTAATTGAAAAGATGCACTTCAATTATCTCTCCAATTCCATCATTCATTACTCCACTTACCCATTACTACCTAATTATGGTTGAGATTTCAGTGGCTGTGACTGTGTCATCTCCTCCATTCAATTAATGGATATTCAAAATCATAAATAAAACTTATTTTCTAATTGTATAGTAATTCTCAATAACACATAACAAAGTGAAACGAAGATGAGAAACACTTGTGTCACAATAATTATAGCACAGAAAATCATCATCAATATTTTCAAAATCAGTGAAACAACTTACTTTACTACCATTTCTCAACCCCTTAATTCTTCTTTTAACACTCTTCAACAATTGACAGAACAAAATAATATATGTATTTATATCAAAAAAAAAAAAAAAAAAAAACACCAAACAGAGATAGTTAAAATATAACTAGACTAGAAAGTCCATTTCCAGATCTTGATTCGAAGATCAACCTTACACTTAGATTTATTAGAAGTAGCCACCGATGGCGACTTACCTTTCGGTACTACCCCTTTGAACTCCTCACACGTAACTCTGATTCCAATCTTCTTGCTGTTCAGCTTCCCTGCTTTCACTTTCACTTTAGTGTCCAGCACGATTTTCAAAGGAACCCCACTCTTTTTCTTCAGATCCGATTTCAATGAAGTTACAGAATCCGTATCAAGCTCATTCGACCCAGAAACGATGACGTTCTTGAAAACCGTTTGGTTTTTAGTCGGGGATGTGAAAGCAGGTATAGTACCGTTACCCAAGAAGACGTCGTTGGATGAAAAAAATGAGATATCAAATGGTTCATAAAAGTAAGTGAGATGGGAGTTAGGGTTTTTGGAGGTGACAGTGAAGTTGAAAAGAGTAGAGAGATGATTAGAGGAGGAGTCGGAGGTGGTGGTGAGATTGAGTCGGTGGACACGGAGTGAAGGGATGGAGAAAGCGGGGCGTTGAGGGCGGTAGAGGACATAAAGAGCAGTGCCAGCAATTGCTATAATTAGAGCGAGGATAAGGAGGATGAGAATGGTCCAAAAGCAGCAACAACAACAGTAGTTGCGGTGGGTACGGTGTCGTCGGTGGTGGGGTTGCGAACGGTATGGATGGCGAAGGGGTGGCTTGGTGGCGGGTGCGGTGGTGCCATTGGTGGCGGGTTTGGAAGAAGGGAAAACTCTGTCAGACATTATTTGTGATTTGAGTTTAGGAAGAAGATGGGGGAGAAAGAGAAAGATTGTGGATTGTATGTAAAGAGAGTAAGTGGGAGAGAGGTAATCGTCGCCACCCAAAAGGGATGCCTACACCTCACCAAATTTGGAATCTCTCTTCTTCTTCTTTTTTTTTTTCTTTTTTTTTCCCAGTTTCAGTTTCACTCTTTGCGATGTAATTTCACTTTTTATTAACTTTTATGCCAAGCCAAGTTTCTCATCTCTCGAACACGTACTTAACTTAATTCTTGTTTATTACATCTTGTGAATTGTCAGACAACGTGGGCTCCATCCTTTAGTATAATTTTTTATTAAGAGAACCCTGATTTTAACTCTGTTAATTGCTGAACTTTTTGAACGTTTTAAGAGAAATTTAATTTAATTATTGGGATTCAGGAAGTTTTAAGAAAAATATGGTACCTGCCCCTAGAGAAAGGGCAGCGCAGTATCCCACCGACGACACTCGGTAGTAGTTTGACTGAGTTCATGTCTTTTTTTCTAGATAAATAATGGTTTAATGACTTATAGGATATTATTTTATTATTCACGTTTATATTTTAGTGATAAAGAAAAAGTAAAAATTTAGTTTAAATTATTAAGATTCTAAAAAAGAGAAGACCGATAAATATTTTAGTTATTAGAACTAATCAAAATTTGATTAGAGAAAAACAGTTATATAAATTATAATCATTTGATTGCTAACGATGAGATTGATCAAAATAGGATTTGAAGGATTTTGATGAAAGATGATTGAAAAAAAGAATGTTAACTACGTTGAAATTAAAATCAAAATATAAATTTAAATAATAAAATAATATTTTAAAAATTTATTATTGAAAAATATTATTAAACAATTATTAGGATGGAAAAGAGTCATTTACTCGGTTTGATTTCATTTCGAAATGGGCAGGTTGGTCAAGGTAATTATTACGTACTCCCAGTCGCTAACTTCGACTTGAATCTTAAGTCAATATATGTTATGGACTAATAGTGCTTCGTTATTAATTAACGCTGCTTTCGAGGTTGGAGGATCATTTCCTTCTCTTAATTAATCATTGATTAAGGTCAATAAGATTTAAGCTCAAAGGCAACCAACAACTTTCGTCTAATGGTTATAGGTCCCCCTCATCATTACAAGTACATCATTTGTAGAGAAATGAGACTCCCTCATGCTTCATCCACAGGGCACACCGACACCCTCCTAGAAAATTGAGACTGACTGAGTGGACAGTACAATAATCCCCACTAAACAAAGTCAGGATACCCCATTTAATACTCAAAACAATACGCATTACATCCATTCTTTTCTACCCACTATAGTTATTTACATTAAGCTTCCTTCTTCATTGTGTACTAAACACTTGTTAAATTCTGTCAATTCCCTGTGATGTGTGCGTGTAATGTATCTTGCTCGAACCCTCATATTATGTACCAGTAAAAGTAACAATGCGTTTTATATTTACTCATGATGTATTTTAACCTAGATTAAGGGTCAGTATTGGGGTCAGTTTGACCGCACCCTAATTATTCTTCTGGGACTTTGAAGTTAACAGTCGATAAATCCTTTTAGTGGTTACCTCTATTAATGTCTGGAGGAACCTCGAACTTAAACCCTGAACCTCTTTACTCTTTACCACTAGGTCATCCATATGTTGTGGTGTGTTTATTGTCATCAACACCTTACTTTGACAGAGGGCAAGGAATAATTTGGTAACCTTCCAAATTTCCTGATGAAAAGAAAGGCAACACACTTCTACGGTTCTACCTAAGCCAACAAGGCAACAAAAAGAAACAAGACAGGCAACTGTCTTACATATCTCCATGACAAAGTACTACACTGAAGACAGCAATGTCTAGTCACTACACAATGAACACAACAGAAACAAGACACTTCTAATCACATCGATTTTCTGTCATTTAATCCACTGGAAATGATGCGCACATATCCATCTTCATTACCCACCTGATAGTAGTTATATTGATTTGTAAGCATCAAAACACTATTATATAAAGTTCACATCATGATATCCGAAGTTGATTTCCAGTTATTCTACATTTTGGTTGACTAAAGCAACTTAAATCAGATTCTGATGATATTACACCATCAATGATTACGGTGGAACACAGCATGTTTTAGCCATGCCATGCACATGCTGTTGCATGTGAATAGCAATGCCTTTCTTTACTTGACAGAAGTACAAGCATAAAAAACCGCAATAATATAATTATGCATTATGCCGCTATAATAAAAAATTTCCAGAGCAAACAGCATATGTGAAGACATGCTATGTAAAAATGTTTGACAACCATATGGCATTTAAAATTGATACTTTTTGTTCTCATACTTCCTCGGATGCCTGGATAATTATGAAATATACTACTGCAAATTTCAAGCAGTATTGCACCCCTTTGCAATGTTTGGACCAACAGCATAGGTGAGCATTGAACTCTCAACACATGGAGAATAAGGTTAAGGACATCCATGTTCATGGCCTGTGCTCTGTTCTCATACTTCTACCATGCCAAGACTTGTACAATCACTAAGGTTGGAGCAATCACAGGGCCCTCACCTGCTAGCATGGAAGCGAATTTACATGGCAAACATTCATTTAACACAATTATAAAACAAGCAACACTTCCAGATATTTTGCAATAATTTCAGCTAAATCACGCCTCGAAATGGCAGAATCTTGTAAGCCGGTAGTAAAACTACCATATGAAAGACAGATCATCCCAAAAAATATAATAATAATAGAGAGGATACAACCAACAGATTCTATTTCATCTTCACTAAGTAATTTGAGTTTTGGTACAAATAGAGTTTACATCAGAATCTAAATCTTCACTGGTAACAAAATCTATTATGAATAACCTGTTGCTTCCCACGATGATTTCCTTGTATGCTGGGGCACCTGATAACTATCGCATGGGAATGCTTCTTTCTCAACTTCATGGACGCTCTTATAGTCACCTAATCTGTTATAATCCTCAGACAAATAAGAATAAAGAAATCCTTCACCTCTCCTCTTAAGGTATAAGAATTATACAGAGTGAAACAAGCACACACGTATACAATATACATGTAAATCAAATGAATTCTAGATTCTAGAATATAATTTCCCCATATAGTTTAAAAATGAACTGAGATTCTCAAATACCTTTGAAATCTTGTATTTCTAACAAGAGCATGATTGAAAGCAGACAGGGACACTGCCGACACAATTCTCCATGGAATGTCCGCTGATAATGTAATGATTTGCATATATTTTTCCTGTCAGCGACAGCTTCAAATCTTGCTAGGAGGTGAACTCCTGCAGCAGAGAATGCATGACTAATAAATTAAAAGCAAAATAAAATTTCACAATGTTATAACTACTTAATACTTTCAAATTATGCATCTGTGACAAACTAATGGACTGATATAATTACGTTTAAGAAGTAAAATAAAGAAAACATAGTGGAAACAAAAATCATCATGGATCTTCTAAACTCTTTCGACTACTTGATCCACATCAGTAAATCCCTCTCATGGTTTAGTTGTGTCTGAAAAATGATACATATCTTGTGAACTTCACAGAAATGAACATCGGTTCAAAGAAAAGTTCAAGTGGGAATGTTTGATAACTCTGAATCTTCCAAAGATAGCTTTGATCTTCAACTCAATCAAAATTCCCTCACAGGTAGAGGTACAACAAATTCAAGATCAAACCTTGCTCAAGCCTTATAGATCAACCTTGCTCAAGCCTATAAATGACACAACCCATTTAATTATATTTGGACCACAAATGTTTGCACTAACCATAAAAGGACTGAAGTCAGCTTAACAAAAGATCTCTTCTTTGACATATAGATAAAACAAATTTAAATAAACAATCAAGGACGTGAAATACCTGCTGCATAGAGCCAATATCTTGAGTGAGTATATTTGGGTGGGAACAAAAATGCCATAGCCGGAATGGCTATGCATGGAATCAGCTGGAACGTCATGCACAACCGAAAATCATTAAATGTTCTGCAACCACTAGCAACACTTTTCAACAAACCCTTATGAATATTTCAGCAAACAAGTCCCAAAGCAGAATACAAAGTGATTAGCAAAAATCTAGAATCGAGAATCAACCTTGCATAAATCATACTAAGAAAGCAACTGAAATGAGTGCAATCAAACAACTTAGTCCATCTTCTCCCCCACTCTCTCAACAAGAAAACTTGAGACAGGAGGAATATGCATCATATCTGCAATTAGAAATGCACAAGAAAACACATCCAAAGAGTAAAATTAAAAAAAAAAACAATGCCTCCAATTGTTATTGAGCAAACTTCTATCACTTTACTTTTAAAGAATTTAAAAAATAATTTCATGCAGTCACATAATGAAAACTTGTGAGAAAGCATAGTGTTACACCTTCAAAACCGTAATTAACTATTAAATGCAGAGAAATTCTTGTTTTATAATTCCTTTCGTTCCCCTACATTTTCTAATAGCAAAAGTAATATCAAGATTCAAATAAGCATCTTAATAGAGATATATCATGGAATTGTAGTTCTAACCGGCAATTTGTCCCACATTGCCCTATCATCATCAGGCATAAGATGATATAAACAGAACCAAAGCCACAGCTGCTATTCCTGCTAGAATAGAGCCCAACCCCAAACCTCTCCTCGGCAACTGTACCACAAACCCATTCCAGACACAACACCATAAACAAATCCATCAACACCATCACAAAGTTCAACGAAAACACTCTAACAAAACGAACCAATATAATATAAACCTGATGTTAAAAAGCTTCCTGGAGAGTGAGAACAAACCCCATAACACCCACAATCAAAAAGGGAAAATTTGTGATCATTCACGGTGTTGGCACTCCTGTCAGATACCCAGATATCAAAATAACATCACTACAGAAAGAGTTATGCATTTGTAATAAAGAGAATAGATAAAGTACCAAGAAATGCGCATATCAGCAAAAAGTGGTGTTCTGGGTAAAAAGAGAACTTTGGAGTAATCAAGATGAAGAAGAGCCCAACAGAAATACTCCTCCCCATAACGAGTTTTTCTTTCCTCTCCCAAGCTGTTGTTTGACCATTAACAACCATTTCTCTTTGCTTTCTCAAGTAACTTTACTTTTGTCTATGTTAAAACTACTCTCAAGTCTCGGCGTGTTTTGGCTCTCTGTGTCTCTGCATTTCTTCTTTTACTTTTTTCTTCGCTTTCCTGAGACTCCCAATGTCCTTTTGCAAACTTTTTATTTTTTTGTGGGTTGATGTGTCTACGAGGTCATTGTTTTGTTAGGCTGTTTGTTTTTTTCGTGAAACGACGTTGTTTTGTTGTTGACAGCACGTGAAAGTGTCATTGTGGACCATTGTTTTTGGTACATGATTTGTCAAAGATTATTAGTAATTGAAGCTTTTTGTTAATACATTCTCTTTAATTCCTTAATTACCATGATACATTTATTACTTACTATGAATATTAAACAAATGATTAAGAATTAGGATATATTATTTATATTGAATTGTTATTTTAGGTACTTATTTGTAAATTATAATTTGCACTAAGGCGTGTCCAATCAACCTTAGGGGCTGGTTTGACAGTTAATTTAGTTTGTTCATTTCCTTGAATTTCTAAATTCAATCTGAGGGTCATTTATCAATAACATTATGTTTATATTCTTTTGAACTTGTTGAGTGTTTCATAGACTCCAAAAATTAGTTAGGTTACATAAACTGGTCCAACACCTCAATTACCAAAAAAAAAAATACAAAAAAAAAATGTCCACATCCTCGTACAAAAACCCAAGTCCTCGTATCATCCTCCATTAAAATGACAACAGTATAATGATAAATATGTCAAGAATATCATATCGGTGGATAGACCTTGATTATTATTCTAAACATATCATCAACTATCATCTTATTGTGATTCAAGAGATAATATAAGGGTACAAATGTAATGGCATATATGCACTCCCTTTGCGGCTGAATCATAATCATCAGAAATAAAATGTTAAACCATTATTCATTTGATGACCTAATATTTGGTATCTATCACAAGTAAGAGTAATACTATACATACATAATTTTTATACAACATTTTTCATACAATATTATGTGGCAAAATATAATTGGCTAATTTAAAGTTAAAATTAAACTTTCACCAAATCATATCTTGTCACATAATATTATATGAGAATGATGTATGTGTAATATTATTCCACAGGTAAAGCTTCTTATGACATTTTAATATAGCTACCCAATTACAAAAGCCACCGCAATTATACATCCATCCTCTTTAATTCAATGTTTCCCCTATATAAAGCCCAACTATATAGTTTATTTAAGAGTAAACTACTTTTTCCCATCTAAATAATAGTCTAGTAACACTGTCCCACCCATGGACATTTAAAATACCATTTTACTATCCAAATTATTATTTCGTTAGTAAATTTCGTTGTAAAAAAGGGTAGACGTCACCCCTATCCTTTTGCATCACCAATCGTCGGCCCCTCTCGCTCCGGCACTTAATTTCTCGCCAATGAACAGAGGCAATCAAAAAAACGATCGCTAGCAGGAGGAAAAGCTATTGCAGCGCACACACAACGTAGCTACACGTTGGGGCATGCTGAGTGGGGCAATTTGTCGAGCACTTAGTGTAAGCCGACAAAAGAGTGCAAAATGGTCGTCATCGGCAATGGAAATAGCCCAGAAAACCAATAAAATCAATCGTCAAACATTCAATAAGTCCAAACAGTCTAAAAAAAAAACAAATTGAATCCAATTTCACCGAAAAATAAAAACCCAATCACGATGGTGGAGGTGAGTTCAGCTGACAATTGACAGGCTAATAGGTGACAGGGTTTGAGGGGTTTTGTAGTTCGAATGGTGGTGTTGGATTGGATTTTGGCTGTCATTAGCCATCGGAGTTTAGCTTAGAACAGTGAAACCCTAACAAGGCGATGGCCAATGAATGGTGGGAAAAGAGGCTTGGGATTGCTGGGGGTTTTGATCTATAGAGGATGGGGAAGTTGATGAAGGGATTGAGGAAAGCCAACAACGTTGTATTTCAGCCAAAATAGGCCAGAGAAAGGGACTCGTGTGGCTGGAAAAAAATAATCGCGAACTCCACAGTCGTCCTTGACTTCCAATGATTGAGGAGTGATTGTGGGTGAGGGTGAGAAGGGTTTCGGTGGAAGGATGCCAGTGAGTTGAATGATGGTGACGTGGCCGATTTCTAGTGCTAGAATCGGCCAAAATTTGAGCTAAGGCATACGAAACTTTGATTTGCGATGAACGACGATCAAGGGTTGATCTTTGGTGTAGATATTTTTGTTTTCACAATTAATATCAAAGTGATTAATGAAAATTATTGACATAATATAATACTTAGATAATAAAGTGGTATTTTAAAAGTTGGTGAAAAAGTATAATTAGGCCTTTATTTAGGACTTTGGGTGGGAAAAAGTTGTTTACTCTTTATTCAATTTCAAAGGTTAGCATTAACAGTTGGGCTGACATAGCAATAGCATTTTCCTACTCTTTTAAATGTTACTTGTTTAAAATGACATTGATATGCACCAACATCACCATTTCACTATGTCCCATTTGTTTTTTAATAATAAATCCACTATTTGATTCCTCTCACTCTCTGTCCTGTCCTATCTTACATGCACCATATATTTGGTATTAATGCTTACTACCCTAACAAAATCACCCACGTGCTTCACACCAAACCACCTGCAAATACGGATAATACATCATGCGCCAACTACCAAAGTGCCCTCTATTTTTACCGTATCTAACGTAATACACATGGGTATTTCTGTAACTCTATCCACTTCTCCACCTCCAATCCAATGGCCATTTCAGTAATACAAGCTTCTGCAACTGCAAGTATCCCCTACTTCCATGGACATCCAACAGGAACATCCCCAAAATTACCAAAATGTCCTCAACCCCACAGCCAAGTATAGTAGTATACGAGTATTCAGAAATGAGACTAGAAATAGCAGTGGCATAATTTTGAACAAAATGTTCATCAACATAAGCAGTAGATCTGCAGTTACATCCCAAGAAATAAACTCCTGAAATTTTAATTTAAACAAAAAAATTAATTAACAAAACCCACCCTCACATAACCAAGCCATAGCTAGTTTAATTTTCACTTCCTCTAGTGATCATCTCCTTGTACCTTATAATGGAATCAATCCTCTGCAACTTCAACTGCTGCTTAAACTTGTAGATAAAATCATCAGCTTTAGCATCCACTTCATCATCAACCACTTGTGTCACTTTAGCTTTTCCTTCTTTAGTAGTTGCAGGCCTGCGAGTCTCGACAATATCTTCTTCTTCAAAGTGAGAAAAGGCAGACTTTGCACTCGCAGACTTCTTCATTTTCTTTGGTAGCTTCTTCGGTATCTCTCCCCCCACTGGTTTGGTATCAGATTTGGTTCTGCTTACGTGGCTGCCCTTCGTTTGTCCATATACCTCATCAAGATCAGGACTCTCTTCTTCATTTTCAATGTACTCGTCTCCTTCATTTCCTCCTTCTTCTTGTGGTTCTTGGTGATGCACATTTTCTTGTTGATGGGTATCTTCTTCTTGGGTTTTGGGCGAAGGAGAGGATTCTTGAGACAAATAGTTGTAGAGGTTAATGGACTTCAGCCTCTGTAACAAAGGAGATCCAGTAGTGGACTGAGGTGGTTGATGCTGGTGTTGCTCAGGTTCACGAGTGAGATTATGATAAGTGAAATGGGAGTCCATACCTGGAGTCTGAGTGAAGTTGGTGTTGGGTTCGGGGGATCTGTAAGTGTAAAAGTTGATAGATTTGAGTCTTTGCAACACAGATGGAGATCTAGCGAGTTGGTGGGGTTGTGGGTGGTCTTGTTGTTTGTGTAGGTCATTGCCTTTGTGGGAATTAGCCAAACTAGTAGTGATGAAAATGGTTCCAATCATGAGGTTGAGGAACAAAAAAAGAACGGTGGGAGTGAACCAACTGTTCATGGAAGCCCAAATTGAGGGTATAAAAGATACAGATTGTTCAAACATGGCTGTCGGTACTGGAGAGGAGGAGAGAAGAAGAAGGGGAATGGAGATAGAAGAAGAGAACAAGGGTTTTGTATAGGTGGGATATTTTGGTTTCATTTTTTAGGATCTCGAGAGACACGTGTTGCCACAAGATGGGTAAATCACAAATAGACAAAACACTATAGGCGGTTGTGAGTTAATATGAGGTTGTAGTTGCATCCAGTAAAGGCCACTGAGCGCGGACTCTGCCAATTACAACTACATCACAACAACGACACCGTTTTAGGATCTCCCGGTTTCTGTTTAACATTTTCAGCCGTTCAAATAAATCAATTGAAAGACAATGTGCAGATAATATGTCAGTACTCTTAATTAAAAACAACGCTCTTAGGTGCGTCTAGTTTTGAGAACGTTAAACTGCCGGAAATTTATGACAATTTTCTAATTCCATTCTCTAAATAATGTTTGACATATTATTTTAGAAATATTATCTTATTATTTTAATTATTTTTAGACCCTAAAAAATTATTAATTTCATTAAATACTCTTTAAAAAAATTTAAATTAATAAAAATACCCTCGTAATCCATGCTTATCAGATTCTGATAACCACCATCGGTGGTAGTCAGAATTTACCACAACGGTGAATTACCAATCAGAACTAGATGGTAATTTATCGATCTGGAGATCGACAACGGCCAAAGAAATGGCCTTTGTTGACGATCAACGACGATAAAATCTTGGCCATCGTTGACCGAAAACGACGGTCATATTACGACACAGATCCGATCGGTCTGTGTTATAACGCGATTTTCCGACCAGATTCTGACGGTGATGGCCGAAATCTGACACTGCAGGTGGTGGGGGTATTTTTGTCATTTTACATGTTAGGGTATTTATTAAATTAGCAAACGTATGGGGTTTTTTAAAAAATTTTAAATTTTACCTCGTAATACTCCCATATTCAATTATCTAATACTATCCCCAAAATCCTATCCAAAATAATGAACCAAACGCACCCTATATTACCTTGAGGGGTGTTTGGTTAGAGGGTATGACATTATTGGGGTTAAGTGATCTTATATTACTTGATATTATATTTAGTTATCAAATAATATAAGATATCAATAATCTTTAAATATCAATAGTGATTACGATCGGTGATATTTGAGGTAATCTGATTACCTTCATTTTCTTAGGTATTCTAAGATTACGAGAGTTATCTTTTTTTGTTACAATTATATCCCTTATTAATAAAATTTTAGGACAATAATGCCCTTATTTTTAAATTTATTTACATGAATATAACTTTTACTATTTCAACCCAAATTAATTAATTTTTTGAACAAAATCACCCTTGAAAACAAATTATAACCCACCCAACCCACCACCCCCAACCACCTGCCGCCGGTAACCACCACCGCGGCCAGCCGTCGTTGTCGCCGGAACGACGCACGGAAGGCCGAAAATGACCGTCGTGCACCGCTATGGCCATTTCCGGCCAGATATCTGGCCGGAAATGGCTAGATCTAATCTGGTCGGCCAGATTCGTAATTAATGGCCATAGCGGTGCACAGCCGCCATTTTCGGCCTTCCGTGCCCTGTTAGGTTGCTTGCTGCTGGTGGCTTACTGTGGTTGCCGGCGACTGGCAGTGGTTGGGTTGGTGGGGGGTGTTTTGTTGATTTTCTAAACTTTTATAATGGGGTTGTTTTGCTAAGTTTTTAAATGTAGGGGGGTTATAGTAATCCAAATAATAATAATATTAAAAAATAATATAATAATAATATTTAATTAGAGGACAATTCAGTAATTTAAATAACATACCCACCAATTTATTTCTCCCAACCAAACATATTAATATAACATACCCACCAATTAACCAAACGCATTTTTCTAAAGATTCCTAGTAATCTTCAAGGTAATCTATCTTTCCAATAATCCAACATTCCCTGAACGAAACGCCCCTTGAAGATTATTGGAAATCTTTAGGAAAATGTATTTGGTTAGTTGGTGGGTATATTATATTAATATGTTTGATTAAGGGGAATAAATTGGTGGGTATATTATTTAAATTACTAAATTGTCTTCTTTTTAAATATTAATATAATATTTTTTTTATTATTAATTTTTGAATAATTTTTTAACCCCTAATATTTTAGATTTAGCTAAAACACCCCTACTTATATAAAACTTTAATTTATAACAAAATCACCCCCACCCCCTGCCGCCACCGCAAACCACGGTCGAAAGTCACTGTGAGTAGCTCACCATGACCACGAGGCTCCGATATAGCCGTTTTTGGCCATATTGATGGCTGAAAACGGCCATATCAAGCCAAATCTCGCAGTATGGCCGAAAACAGCCATATCGAAGCCTCCCGGAGCCTCCCAGCGAATCTCCGTCATTTTTAGGGGCTCCGACGGCGATCCATGGTGGCTAGCCCACTGTCAACAGTGGTGGCTGGGTGACGGTGGTGGTCTGTAATTTGTTTTAAATATAAGGGCATTGTTGTCCAAAAACTTAATTAAACAAAGGTAAAGTTGAACTGGTATATTAATGTAAATTTATTTTAAAACAGGAGCATTATTGTCCAAAATTTTTATTAATAAGAGATAGAATTTTAACAAAAATAAGATTACCTGGATAATTTTACAATACCTAAGAAAATTAAGGTAATCAGATTACCTCAAATATTACCAACAATAACAACTATTGATAATGCAAGATTATCGGAATCTTATATTACTTGACAATCAAACATGGTAATTAAGTAATATAAGATGACATAACCTCAATAATCTTCTATTATCTTCAACCAAACACCCCCTTAATGTTGTCGGATAATAATAACCATAATTTGTATGTTATATTTAACAATCTAACGAATTAGGCATGGCAATAGGCCTTGCCCCCGTATGGGGTAGGAATTCCCCGCTTTTTTCGGGGATAGGGTCGGGAATAGGATTATCTCCCCATCCTCGGAGACGTGGAGTGCCCCTCCCCTCCCTTGGCCCCGCCCCGTATATAATATATATATGTATGCCTTCAGAACAAATTATGGCAATGCTTAAATGGTTTTTGTTTTGTTTCTTCAATTGGTGTAATTGATCAAATACATAATGAGTTTGTATTTTGGGCAAATACAATGTTTTAGCTTAAGTTTAGACGATTAACCTAAGTGTTTATTGTGTAGATGAATCTTAACATTAAAAGAAAATTAATTATTGTGTTTGGTAATGCTCAAATAGTTTTTGTCATCTGTTTCTTCTCATAAATAATGTTAATGTAAAATTAATGGCGTAGGGATGAGTTTCTAAAATTTCCTATAGGGGCGGGGATGGAGAATCTCTGTCATTCCTATAACAACAACGTGACGATGGTGGAGAGTGATTTTGAGGGCGAGAATGGGAATGCCCCGGTCTGCCCCACCCCATTGCCATGCCTACAACGAATGTGTGTATTTTCTGATGAAATTTAAACCACGTTGAATTAAATTAAATTAAAGTTTAGCAAATAAATGACGGACAATGTACTAAACTTGTTGCCATATATATATAAGTATGTCTCATTGATATGAGCATAGATCAAGATCTAATAATTGATAAGGACCACTACTGACCACTTCAATCAGTTATATGATTGCTCAATACACGTTATAGTCTATAGGTTTTGACAATTTGATTTTTTTTTTTTTTTTTTTTCCAATTTTCGGATACCAGCGCAGTCAACGTAATCTCCCCCTCCCCTTTTTTTTTTGTTTTTTTTTTCATGGACCGGGATATCCGGATTGCACGGATCTTAAATATAATTTTTTAGGACCAACACGATCAGTTGGATAACAATGTAGTAGTTACGGATTGGCTACCTTACTAATAAATGAGATGAATTAAATTTAAGATCTCTTAAATAATAATATATTTAAGAGTCTTAGTTAATCACTTAATGATAATTTTAATATATATTTTTCACGATAGGGTAAATATTTTTGTAAGATATTGTAATTTTTAGTTTCTAATTTTTTGAACTAACTATTATAAATATTTCAAATTCGTTATACAATCATTTTTTTTATGAAAGGTTATTAAAAGGAAGCATGATTATAAACACCCAAAGCTATTCATTATCAAAGTTTATTTCCTTCATCCATATGAGATTGTTTAATATGAACCACATCAATTATTATTAGAAAGCTTTATACATCTCTTTGAAAAAAAAAAAAAAAATCTGTAAATGTAAGAAAACTCTATAATAAGAATATTTAATACTTTGGGGATATTTGGATCATATAATATTTTATTATAAAGGGATATTATATTATCGGAATAAAATATCACCTTGAAGATTACTGGAAATGTTTAGAAAATGTGTTTTGTTGGTTTGAATAAATTGATGAATAGTATGTTTGGTTAGAAGGATAAACGGGTGAGTATGTTATATAGATTACTAAATTGCCCTCCTTTTTAAATATTAATATAACAATATTTATTATCATTATTTGTTGAATAATCATTTTAACCCCCTACTTTTCAGATTTAGCAAAAACACTATAGCAACAAAAATGTTTTAAACTTAACAAAAACACTGTTACCCACCCCAAGCCGCTGCTGGCAACTAGGGGTGAGCACGGGTAGCGAGTAGAACCGAAACCTGGGGGTAGAATCGGAACCAGAACCTACCCGAAACCAACACTGTGCGGGTAGGTTCCAGTTCCAATTTTTTGGAACCGATACTATGCGGTTCCGGTTTCGATTCTTGTGTGTGGAGGAACCGAAACTTGGAAAAAGGGTACCCTGTTTGGAACCTGTAGCAGGTATCCGGTTTGGAACCTGTAGCAGGCATCCGGTTTGGAACCTGTTTGGAACCTATTTTGGAACCTGCTTGGAACTTGTTTTGAAACCTGTTTTGGAACCTGGACTGCAATGAAATATTTGTGAAATGTGAATAATTGGGGGTTTCTATTATTTTACATATAAAAAAATTTAAAATAGAAAAAGTTAATTTTTTTTGGAATAACCTAATTA